TATTTAATAATAAAGTTATTAAAAAAAATACTTTCTTTAATATTAGTTTTTCCATATTAATATTTTTGCTATCGAAAATATTTGATTTTGAAAATATTAGAAATCTATGATTTAGTAGTGAAGCCGATGACTGATTACTAAATTCTACACGAAATATATGCAAGTTCTGTTATGCAGTAGTGGTTAGTTAGACGAGAAAAGTATAAGTGGCTGTTTTGAGAATTGAAATTGAAAAATTGAAAAGTGAATTTCTCTTTGTGGTATATGAGTATCATGAAAGATTGACGCTATCACTGTACTATGATTAATTTCTGACTTTACATATTTTTGTTATGATTTTAAGATCTCCAAATATTTTTTCACACATTGGGTCTCAAACAGACACCTAAGGTGAAGGTAAAAAACGTTTAACTACGACAAACGCCAAAGAACCAGCAAAGATAATAAATGACTTTTAGCCTTCAGTGGAATATCAACCTGTTCTAATAAATTAGATGTACAAACAATTTGCTATGTGAACTGATAACTAATAAGTCATTAATAAATTAATGAATAATAAATTTCTATAAAAACTTCTGAAACTATTCAGCTATTAGTCACCAAATATATTACATTTATTAACATAGGTGCCTACAATGAAAAGGTGCCTACAATGTCAAAACATATACGTTCATTATGATTTATTGGTTATTACAATAGTCTATAGTGAGTGTAGGGTTATAATTTAAGATGAGGTCAGTGCTTGGATGAGTAACCTTATGATGCGATGCTTAACAATTAATCTAAACTGGCGTCAAGTCAATGTTTAATTGCCAATGAAGTAGAAAACAGTTGCGCGTTGTCGCGCATTCGACACGGTATGCAGCATTTCGACAATTAAACACAATCACGCCCAACGGTTACAAATCGAAATCAATTCATAGAGTAGGTTACAAAATTGAAGGTATTGGCTAAATCATCTTTAACTATTAAAAGTTATATGTACATGCCAACTTGACTGAATTTTGCCGCCAAATCTGAGTATGAAAATGTATGGTAGATATAATATAACTACAGAAAAAATGGTGTGTAGATAAATTAAATTCTTTAAAAGATTCTAAATGAATAATATCGTAAAATTTTGTAGAAAAGACGTATCTAATTGTTTTAAGGTCTCCTTTCATGATTGTTTCGTGTAGACATGTTTAAACAACACTTTCAAAAGATTATTTTTATTTTTTGTAGATATATTAATGAATTCTATTTAGGTAAGAGCTACCTAAATAGAAAGTTTGACGCCCTTTTTAGGGTTACTAAATACCAAAATAATACAAAAGAATTCTTATGGTGGTGATAATTTCAAATTTAAATTAACCACAATTAATTTAAAATGTATATCGAAATGTGTTTAAATATTTGACAAAAACTTATATCATAAAACCAACTTTAATATCATAAATTATTTCACAATTGGAAACATTGCTTTTTTTTGCTTAAAACATTACTATATTAGACCACTTATTGCGAAATAAAATCTTTATGTATAACAAGCAATATTTAAAATAGAGTATTTAAGTATTTAAAAAAATCGTGTTTTTGTAAAGTCAATTTTTTGCAGAACGTATATAAATATTCTTGTCTAGTTAGAAATAAATAAGAAAAAGAATGTCATTTTTAGAAGTTATACCATTTTGAGAAAATGGTTGAACGGATTTCAATGAAATTTCATAAGAATGTTTTACAAAAATTGAACAAATGATGATATACTTGTACATACATGTACAATACAACTGTCAATGACCTCTCTATCGTTTAAAATTGTGTAGAACATTGAGTTCTCCATATCAATATCGTATATCGAGTCTTAAAACGAATTTGTTAATTAGTCATGTTTACAAAACAAATAGAAATCAGCAGTATGGCAATAATTTAATAATGATATATTTGACAGTAGAACTATTAAAAAATAACTTTTAAAAAAGAAAAAAGAACTTAAATTTATTACACTTTGGCGTTTTTATGAAGAGGGTGGTACAGATATAGATATTCTTAAAAATACGTTTAAATAGCTGATTTAAATAGCTTTAATATTATCAAAACTATTTGATTGGTGCGTTCGGGTAATTTTGAAAATGTGAGTAATCCGAAAATATGAAATTTCTTTTATTCTAATAACATTCACTTTAATCTACTGATATTCAATCCAAATCGTTTTTCTCGTGTCGTTGTCTGAACACACTTATGTAATATTGCCCCAAATATTCTCGCCAATGCAATTTAAAAATAGCGATCTAGTATAGACGCAGGTACAAGTACACTCACTGTAGATAGTTGCCAATTTTACCTCAGATTAGTAATCAGTAAAAAATAATGTATTAATTAATAAAACTCACCGCATCGGTCAAGCCAACCCTCAGCACGACACGGGTACGGGATCACCACCAGCAAATCATCGACCTTCATCTTCGCACACTTTCACAATACAATAACAAACACTACCAAATGTGTATTGGTAGATACGACTATACACATTGCCACTTTACATATTCCACTATCCTATAGGTACACTAGTAACAGTCGATCAGATTGAAACAGCCGTCACAGCTGCTGGGTCCTCGACCGCCGCGCCTTACTTTCACCAACTGCCAATAAAAATACAACTATGTTAATCATTGAATCGATGCGATAACATAAAATATGTACCTTCCTACAGTCCACATTATTGTTAATGCCACTGGACCTAAACTAATCCTAAATAAATGCTCTACAGAAAATTTACGAAGTTCATAAAACTAACAATGCATACGAGTATTTCTTAATAGTCATAGAAATAGTTAGTCTTCAATTTGAAAATTTCTACGAAATACGACAGTATCTTTTACTTTCTATACTAGGTATAGAATCTACATTTCTGTAAACTCATGGCTTTCCGAACTTTTATAAAATTATACTAGCACATCACCTTCCATCTCACATATTACTATACTTACCTAATCTACTTCTATCTGATAGATTTTCAGTGTTTTATTAGAAATCTATCGATACAATAATATTACAAAATAAGTGTGTAGTTACTTTCTATGTTATAGATACGTTACATTTGTATGACTAAAATAAATTAACCAGGTAACCATTTTACATTTTTTCTTCATAAACTTCGGAAATAAGGATGAAATATATTTTTTTATATTCCTATCCTAAATTGAAAACTATGGGTCACAAAAAGAAAAAGCAAACTCTTTATGGATAGTGATAATCACTTATCATAGAGTAAGCCGTATGCTCGTTTGTCCCCTATGTTGTAAAAAAACTATAGACTGTTTCAATAAAAATAAATAAGTAACCAAGATTATTTGAAATTATCACAGAAATATTCTCCAAATTAAATTAGTAACAAATCGAAACATGCAATCAATTAATCATTTTTTTTATTTGTAATCGGATACAACAAACCTGTTTTTTTTGTCATGCCAATTATTCGTTTGCCTACCTATTATAAAATTTCTAGCATCCCTTTTAGACCCTCTAGCAAAAAATAAATAAAAATATGTTTTATATTTCTATTACAATAAGGGTAAGACAACAATACTGCCAAATTTTAAATCGATAATATGTATATAACTATGATAGAGTATACCTAATCTTGTTACAGATACTTAATATATAAACCAAAGCCGAAATCATCGTCTAATAAAAAAAACATGTACCTATAACGTTTTTATGTAATCAGGTATGGAACCCTAAAAATCGTTGCAATTAATAATAAATTAATATCTATCTACGTACTTACTCAAAAATTAGTTGATATGTTGTAAGGCATAAAAAAACATTTAAAAAATTATTATTAAATGGATTGAGCTGTAGCTCGATTACTTATTTTATTCTTTATTCTACACAAACATAATATTAAGAACAATTAATTTTAAACGTAATGTATAAAGGCGAGCTTATCTCTAATAAGAGATTTCTTCCAGCAAACCTTTTTAAGTGAATTGAATTATTATTTAAAAATTAAAATAGACAGTATAATAAAAATAAAATAATATAGTCATTAAATAAAAATATTTCAATTATTACAACCATTAAATGATTTTTTAAATTTTTAAACTCAATTGGGTACTTATACATTGATTAGGGTACCTAAAAATCTGTAGATTACAAATAAAAAAAATAATGAAATATAAAATTATATAAAAAAAATGTAAGCGTATAATAGAATTTTACCTTCTATAATATAAAAGTCCATAAAATTGATGTTTTTCAGTTATCTATAGTTAATGTATCTAATTCATAACAAAAACATTTACACACGTGATATTCACAAAAATACTCTAACCGATAACACAACCACAACATACACTCGCATTCAAAAACTGATTGAAATTGGTGAATTGCCAATATTGCTGTCGCTCTGTTCTTTATCTAGGTGTATACCTATCACTATTCATTCATGTTACCGTTTTCAACATTTTCTCTAGTCGAGGACGTTAGCGAAATAGCAATATATTTTATCCCTGTCTATATTTTTTATCGATTGTCCTCGATTGGCATTTTATCCAATCAGAAAGGGTACAATTATAATCATAGACAGAGAATTACATACTATTTTTATCTGTGTTTTATCAAATATAATAACAATCATTAATATTTAATATTTTTAGCAATATGTTTATGTACAATAAGGAGTAAAGAAAGAATAGCTAAAGCGAAATTTATTACCAATTAAAATGTATTGCTGTTAATGTTTAAAGTACGTTTTACTTTAAACTCCCATTTTAATATTTCGTAGACAATTGCAAGCTCGAGACAAAGGTCAAGCTTAAACTATAACCACTCTTGAAAAAAGACGGAAGAATTTCGACTAAGGAATCTGTTCTTTAATATGAGTACTCTGTTTAAAAAGAGAATATACCTAATTATTAATATTTAAACAATATATGCTAAACAATTTACTTCCATATAAAAATTTCATAGGAATAGTATTTTTTTACTCTAGCAATTAAAATAACGCTTGTGTATCTGTGTGAATTAGCAAAAGTTACTCATGTGAAATAAAAAAAAAATAGTAGTCTATGGTTCAAGATGGCTCTCAAAGCTTTAGTTGGACAAAGTAAGTAAAAATATTTATTTAATAACAATTAAAATATGTTTCTAGTCCTAAATTACAATATATAATTATAATTTCTTCATTTAATTATATTATTTTCTTACCGACTTCCCTACTAGTCCATATGCCATTACAACAAAATATTCCTCCCCTTGCGATGACTAATTATTAAACTAGGAACGAAAATATCCAATTTTGCAAACTATAAGCAATCTATTTTTTATTAATCTTGTAATTTTGTACAAGTTTAAAAATGAAGTATGTACTATATTTTTATTTTTCAACTGCTATTATGCATAATACACCAATGTAAACAAATCATAATATTATACCTAAAATTCGAGTGCCTATTATTTTTCATAATAATTCTATGTCAGTTTAAAAAGTATTAATGCTTTGGATTAAATCTAATTATTTATTTTATTATAATGTGAAATTCCAATGCAGTGAGCAGTTCTTAAATTATTGATTTTCTTATGTCAAAGACCAGTGGGGTGGGGTGCGCCGGCAATACGTCACTAGTCATTGTTTAAAATAGGTAACTGGCTTTACCCGCAACTTCGTCCGAGTAACCAGGCCTTCTCCATCTCATATAGAACCTGTATACCAAATTTCATAGTGGTTAGTTAAGCCCTTAAGGCCACAATAGGTAATAAAATCACTTTCACATTTATAATATTAGTAAGATTTGAAATATACTCACAGTCCAAAATACATACACCTAGTATTATCCTAATATTACATATATTTGTTATTATAATACTGTATAAATAATAAACTACCTATATCCAATCCCTCGTTACTCTATATTAATTTCTACCTGCTTGTACTACAGAGATATGTTTACTGACCAGGGTAAAAATAGCCTATGTTCACTAATTTAATCAGGAATAATAAAGATTTACATTACACATTCAATATGAGTTTGATAAGGGAAAAAGGGATTATTAGTAATGGGATCTAAATAGGTCCATTTCTAACAATATACTCCCAAATCAACCTCCAAATGATTCCCTCTGGTATTCTTATCTTATATTTGCCAAGCTGTTGCATGTTGACCCATATTTTGTGCTTTTCCTTCTGGTAACCATAGTGGTTAATTCTCACTGAATTCATCTTGATGGGCCAATTACCTTTTATCCTCATCTATCATCTCTCACTGGTATACTACCAGCATATATTGATAGCACAGATACCTTTACACCATCACCAAATAAAAAAAAAGTGCTAACTGAATAGGATTACTTATAATTTTAGTATGGTATGTGGAATAATGTAGTACAGTATAAAAATTTCTGAAACATAAATTTGTTAAAGCTATTAAACACTTAAAACATAATATTATTGTACACAAACATATTTTTAAAAATATTAAATGAATAACTATTCCCAAATGCACTTCTTCATCTAAAAGATATGGACATTAGGCTATGAAAACAAAGCACAATATCCAATACCAGTAAAATAGAAGAAAAACTTGAAAATGAATACCAAACTACCAATGTAGTTTAAAATCCTGGTCTTGAAAGCAAGGAACTATTCCCAGTAGTAACTGACTTAAGGATGGATTCAATAGATATGAATGTATAAATGTATTGGATTGCATACAAGCTATTAAATTGCTATATAATGCTTTTGTTCATAGTAAATTAGAAAATAACGCAATTATTTGGAACCCACATGAGTCTAAATATATACTTATGGTGGAAAAAATCCAAAAGAAATTTGTAAGATGGCTGTACCAAAAACAGTATGGTTTCAAGGTGTCTTATCCCCATATATACCCGAGTATGTTTTTGTTGGGTATGGTGGGCTATAATACACTTGAAGTGAGACGAAAACTAAATTTAATTGAATATGTGTTAAAATTAGTGCGGGGGGAAAAGTGTAACCAAACTGTACTGGAATCAATATCAATAGGAGCGCCCAGTAACTATGTGCGAGCACGTCGACTGCACTTATTCGATGTTACATTGCGAAGAACAGAGTTCGCTAAGCAGGCTCCCCTGTCTCTTGCATTGAAACTACTCAATGATATTTTGAGCCAGTATCCGCAATTGGATGTATTTGCCTCTAACTTGCTGGAGTTTTGTCGGTTGACCACAGAGTATTTGTGTTCAGACGTTTTTGTTTAAGTCTTTTTATATTAGTGTAATATTCCTTTTTTTATATGTTGTTGTATTCATGCTTTCCTGGGTGGGCGTATTGGAAGACTGTAAGGCTCACCCAGTGGATGTAATAAATAAATAAATTAGGTTTTAATGAATGAATGGTGCATCACTAAAAGTATACTTATATTTTAATTATTTATGTTACTTTACTCACCTGTTAGTATTCAACTATATTTTTATATACTTATAGTGTTTAATCTATTCCTTACAGAGATTATGAATGAAGTGATCCGCTATCGCGGACCCAAAGGAAAGGAGTCTCAACGTATAGAATGGCGGATTCTCATTGTGGATCAGCTGTCTATGCGTATGGTCTCTGCTTGTTGTAAAATGCATGACATCTCAGCTGAAGGCATTACTTGTAAGTGAAATTCAACAATTATTTATTATACAATTCTCAATTCTATTGTTAAGAAATCTCAATCTGGTGCACATTGCTAACAATATGAGTATTCCTATTGATATTCTTAATTTAAGTAATCAAAACCAGTTATGCACTAACAATCCTCATTATATTACAAGTGTTTAATATTATACTCAGACTAAAATGCCATAATTGGTTTTACAGTGGTTGAAGACATCCACAAGAAGCGAGAACCACTATGTACCATGGATGGCATTTATCTCATCACACCATCAGAGAGATCTGTACATGCCCTTATCAATGATTTCTCTGTTGGTAATCGCATCATGTACAAAGCTGCTCATGTGTTCTTCACTGAAGGTAGTGATTATTAATAATGATGAAAGTTACAAATTGAAAGAAATATTTTGAATGCTAATTTTAGTTTTTAATTATTTGTAATAACCATAAACAGACCAAATTATATTTATCCAATTAGTTATTATTATTATTTCAGCCGTTAACTCTCCACTACTGAACTTGCTGTTTCCTTCCCAATAAGGGGAGTTTTGCTAGTAGTAACCATGCTTGGCAGATGGGTTGGCAACCACAGTTAGGCTTTTAGAGATATTTTAAGAAGGATGTTGCTGCCCATCCCTTGCCCTGTCCAATTAGTATTATACACTTGATGACTATTATTGGCATTGTATAAAAATACTTTATATTTTTTTTTGTTACTAAAATGTTTGTATGACAAATATTTTATTAACAAAAAAAAATATGTCTGGTTTCTGTTTCAGATTTTCCAATAATACTTAATAAAACTTTGCATACAATATGATTGAAATGTTTACAACAACAAATAACAAAAGTATTATTAAGTATTTTTGTTGCAATATGATTGTATTGTAATTTATAAAAATAAGTTACCTACTTAAAAACAGAACAAAACTTAAATATCACTAAAAACAATCTAAAAATTAATTCCATGAATTTTCATGTTTGTTCCCTCATAACGCTGTCGGTAATAAACTGATTTAGATTTTTTTTTTATCTGAAAGGATATATGTACTTACAGATTGGTCCTATAGAAATTTTATCGAAATAGTTTTTAAATCAAAATACTTGAAGTAGTATTTTCCGAAAATTCGGGGACAAACGAAACAGAAATTTGATGTTAAAATTACATAATACATGCTGTTTAAAATTATTAAAAATATTAAAAGATCTTTCCTTAGGACTATTAGAATAGGGTTTATGATGAATAAAATATTAAGCTCCATTTACTGGGTCGATTTTGATACGAACAAAAACACGAAATTGAGCCCGAAATTTCGGAATTTCATTTCATGGTAGACCACCAGTTTTTTTTTTAACAGAACAATTTTTTTTTTAGTTTCAAATTAAAAAACTTCAAATTAAACTTATAATAATAATTAGGTCGTGTTTTTAAGAATTTTTAACTAAGATCGACTGCCAAAGTCGAAAAGTTTAAAGTGCCACAAAGTTTTAAAAATCTATAACTTCAAACTAAAATAGTTTCATAACTTATAATAGATACCTACTTTCATATTATTATCCCTATTCATAATAACTAAAACTTATTGCAAACATATTTTAACTATTAAGCATTCTATCATTTAAACTATATATTGAACATTTCACCATCTAAAATACATAGGTATAAATATTACGATTGTTGTTGTTTTAGACAGGAAATAAATGTTATTTTTTGCTATTTATATACAAACTCAACTATCTTGGATAAACTAACTGGTTACTCTTTATGGTTATTACAAAGACTTGTAAACTTATTATTACTAAATAATATATTTTCACTTCTTCATTTCATGCTTCTGTTTTTGTTTGCATTTTCAATATTATTTAATTTTCATTTTACAGCTTGCCCTGATGCATTGTTTGATGAATTGTCACGTAGTCAAGTAGCTAAATATATCAAAACATTAAAGGAAATCAACATAGCTTTCATTCCATATGAACAACAGGTTTGTTTTAAAAATAACATTTCTTTCACTATAAGGAAACATGCCTTCAAATTTAAAGCCTAAGTTCATTTACTTTAGTGTAAAAGGATGTTATTATATGTATGTCAATATATGTTATGCAAATATGTGAACATTGTTTTGCACGCTGCATTAGTGTGTCCTGAGGAATTATTCAATGAGTTATGCAAGTCTTCAGCAGCAAGAAAAATCAAAACACTGAAGGAAATCAACATAGCTTTCTTGCCATATGAAAGTCAGGTGAATATGCAAATTTTTGTTGAGTCATAAATTCAGTCATTTGTCTGCTATTTTTATCCCACTCTCCATATTCTGTCGCGAAGCAGATATGCTTGCATAACTGTTTCGATTTGAAAAACAGGCTACAGCAATGAAATTACAGATAAAATACACATCATACCTTGGCAAATGGTAATGTATAAAGGATATCATGGGGTTTATGTCAATAATTCCGTTCATGTCTTTGGATGACAATTGTCATTTACCATTAGGTGGGCCATCGGCTTATTTGCCATTCCAAATTGCATAAATAAAGCCACATTTTTAAAATAACAATACATCTTTCTCATTAATGATATATTACGTAATCTATTATTTTATTGCTGTTATAATTTTCGCTTTGTTTACAATAATTGTTACAGGTATTCTCTTTAGATTCGCCTGAGACTTTCCAGTGTATGTATAATCCCGCATTGGCCCAGACTCGCAATGCTAACATGGAGCGCATAGCAGAGCAAATTGCTACCCTCTGCGCTACACTTGGAGAGTACCCTTCTGTCCGTTACCGCAGGTACATGAAGTGCTTAAATCATTGGTTATTGTTACTAGAATAGAATACTATTTATTTTCACTTCAAGTCTTTTCAAATAAGTATGGATAGAAATTATTTAGTGCTGTTAGCCGCTATTTTTAGACATACTTATTTCTTATAGATAGTACAGCATGTAATAATTTTATAATATAAATGCAAACATATAGACATTTTTGACCATTTCTATTCTATATATAACTTCTATATTAACTCCTAAACCAATAATGAATTATCAATATTATATTGCAATATGATTCGATTTTACTTTTTGAGACAACACATTTAAGACCCTAGTATGCGGCATATTTTTGTCAATAAAATGTATAAATCCAGATTTTTTAATTTATATTTTTCTCTTCCAGCGACTGGGAACGTAATGTTGAACTTGCTCAACTTATCCAGCAAAAACTTGATGCTTACAAGGTAAAATAAATCTAATTTATCGAGTGCTTATTTAGGTATTTTTTCTGTGTTAAAATATTTTCCACTGTGCTTATTCAAACAATAGACGTAATATAGAAACATCTAAATTAAAACATATTTAATTGTAATAATGTGAATTATTTGTAGGCAGATGAGCCAACAATGGGCGAAGGACCTGAGAAAGCGCGCTCTCAACTTCTTGTTTTAGATCGTGGCTTCGATTGTGTCTCACCCTTACTGCATGAACTTACTCTTCAAGCTATGGCATATGATCTTCTACCTATTGAAAATGACGTTTACAAGTAATATACATTTATTTACATCAACCAATAATAAAATTTAGCAAAACATATTTAATTATCGTCTGTTCTGTTTTATTTTTTAAGATATGAAGCATCACAAGGTCAATTAAAAGAGGTATTGCTAGATGAAAATGATGAACTATGGGTTGAACTTAGACATCAACACATTGCTGTTGTGTCCACTTCTGTTACTAAAAACCTGAAGAAATTTACGGAATCTAAGCGAATGGGAGGAGGTGTATATTTTTTTTATATTTATTTTATTCAATTTATTTATTGTACAAAACAATAACATATCTATATTTTTAAATTTTCATTTTAGGTGATAAACAATCAATGCGAGATCTGTCACAAATGATCAAGAAAATGCCTCAATATCAAAAAGAACTATCAAAATACGCAACACATTTACGTCTTGCTGAAGACTGTATGAAAGCCTATCAAGGATATGTTGACAAACTCTGTAAAGTAGAACAGGTAAAAATTAATAATTTTTTTGCTGATACAGACATGTAATTATTTAAGCATGAATCTTATGTTATTATTTCTTTCAAAGGACCTTGCTATGGGAACAGATGCAGAGGGAGAAAAAATAAAGGATCACATGAGGAGCATTGTGCCTGTCCTTTTAGATCAAGTAAGATTTTTCTAATTGTAATAAATAATGTCCTGAGTGATTGTGTTACAATACTTTTGACGTGCCTTGATATAATTTTCAGACGCTTACAGCTATTCTATCAACAAAAGTTAAAAAAACAATTAGTAGGATAGCTATATTTTATAATGTCATTTTGTTGTTAATTGCAGGGTGTAACAAACTTTAACAAGATGCGCATTATCGCATTGTACATCATGTCAAAAAATGGTATATCAGAAGAGAACTTGAACAAGTTGGTAACACATGCACAGCTCGAGCCGTCAGACAAGCAGGCTTTACTTAATCTCGCCAACCTCGGCCTCAACGTAGTTATCGATGTAAATATTTTATAACGTATTTATTATTTAGTAACGCATATAATATTATTTTTCATCCGGCTATATCTGACATATACAAAAGTATATGTCCCATACTAATTTTGTTTAAATTAACAAATTTTTTAATTATAATATCTTTTTTTACTCCTTATACATTATTTGTACTCTTATATAATGGAAATTTGTCATATTTAAAGGGTAACAGGAAAAAACAATATCAAGTGCCGAGAAAAGAACGAATCACTGAACAAACGTACCAAATGTCACGATGGACACCTGTAATAAAAGTAAGTAACATTACCATTATTGAAATACCATACCATTCTTTCTTGGATCAGAAGTGATAGTCATTTATATAATTATTCATTAATATAATAAATACCTAAAATTTATAACGATAGAATGGATGAATGTTTGGTTCTTTTTCACGCAAAAACTACTCAACAAATATGAATGAAATTTGATACACAGGTAGGTTATATACTAAATTAGCACAAGATACTTTATGTACTGATTCACGCAGGCTAAGCCGCGGCACACAAATAGAACGTGATATTACGTATTTTAAATTTGATTATGAAAAAAATTTATGTGAGATTATAGCTTATAGGAGAGGAGTAATTGATGGACCATTATTCAATATATGTCATAGCATATTATTATTATTTATTATAGTCATTAAAATGCTGTAATTATTTTAACTAAACCAAAATAATCATACTTTATCATACATCATATATCATACATCTACCCGTCTGTTACAGCACTCTATCCCAGTAACTACAAATGCTATCCATTTGAAGTTTGAATCAGTTTTAGATATCATTGGTCCATACATGTAAAATAAGCCGTCAATCGTCATAGGACTGCACGTCAGAAATGAAAACTTCTTAGCTTCACTTATTTAACTAAAATTTATTGGGTTGTTAAAAAATATTATTTTGAAAATAATTTTTGTTTCAAATTATTTTTTCAACGTATTAGTTATAAAATTTTCGTTTAATACTCTGTTTTACATGAAAAAGATTTATATAAAAAATATCTAAGCGTAATCGTTACGCTACATCAGTGCTTTTCCCCCATCTCAAAAACTTAAAAATAATTCAAATAAATATTTTTATTTTCTTTGCTAAGAGGTCCAAAAGGGGTAATCAACATTTTAAAGAGATCCTACTAGTGCAAGTGGAGTATCATGTATATTCCGCTATCGCCGAAGTTTTTTTTTTTTTTTTAAACAAAAAATCTGAAATAATTACAAATAACTAAAAATGGCGCAAAATAAGAAATCACGAATTGCAGTATCAATAATAATATCTATTACCTGTGTCTATTTCGTATAAGAAACAATACAGGCCATTTTTCTCAATCAATTTTTCGATTCAGGCAATGTTTAACTCGCACCTGGCCTATTATTTATTAAATAGCTAGTATTTAGATAATAAATGATTAACTAAATTCTATTTATTTTAGGACATTATTGAGGACGCAATTGATGACAAACTTGACCAACGTCACTTCCCATTTTTGGCGGGCCGAGCCCAAACTTCTGGATACCAGGCCCCAACAAGGTTAGTGATCTCAACTTTATAAGAAATGAGAACTAAAATACAGCTCTTCACCGCTTGATAATGTGGCTTTCTATAAATGAAAAAAATATAATCGTTTAAGTATTTTTATAAATTATCCACTACAAAAGAAAAAGATAAAAAATTTCTGCTTTATATATAATACTAGTTTAAACATAGAACACTCTTAAACCAATACAAATAAAATAGCCATAAATATTAATATATTGTTTAACTATCGAAGTTGCAATCATCAATGTGGTGTGGAAAGTGTAGGAGTGTATTTAAACTGCTACGGCATTAAGATTACAAAAGCCATATTAGCTCCCATACCAAACTGTCAAATATACTATTTGTAATGCTGTTTTAGTTCATTTCTAATTTTTTATTCACATACATTGTAGAAGTTCTAAATCTAAATTTGAGCAAAGTAAACTAGGCTTTATATTATTATTATTTTTAGATTAGGTCTGAAAATTTATATATAAAACACACAATGTAGTTCGTTACAGTATCGATAGAAATCCATATTTATTATTGATTCAATTGCATGTCGTGAAGTAGTTGTAGAGTATATTTGACGTTAACTTTCTTGTATGTTCTTGTACTCAAAATAACTTTTATTTCAGTGTTCGTTATGGTCATTGGCATAAAGATAAGGCACAGCAGACCATAAAAAATGTACCCCGCCTCATTGTCTTTGTTGTCGGTGGTAAGTTTATTTTATACCTATTACAATAAACATTCTATATTTTATGACAACCACCATTTAAATTTAATATATCGTGGTTAAAAATATATAATCTTCAATTATTTTTAAATTAAACAAAATTACTTGTAATTATTACACATTTTGGACTAGTGCGACAATGTGATTATAATAAATACAAAATTTAAACGTTACATTACTACAAATGTTATAGAATTGAATTGGTAACTATATTGTCTTTTCAGGTGTATGCTTCTCTGAGATCCGTTGTGCCTATGAGGTGACAGCTGCCCTCAAGAACTGGGAGGTAATCATAGGCTCTTCCCACATCATGACACCAGAAATATTTCTCTCGGACTTGAGCTCACTCACTGCCTAAATAGCTGAGAAAATCAGCTATTTAATAACTAACTACTGTATCGTTCACAAAATTAAATGCTATACTAAAGAAAACGCCTTGACTTGTAGGCATGTGGTAGATTGACGTCAAACAACTAATTATGTAGAAGTAACCTTTTGACCATCGATTGTGATATTCTTAAGTTATAACTTGAATTGTTGCAACTACTTGCGATTGAAGATATAAAGATACAAAGTAATATATGTCCTGTAGTAGTATAATTATTTTGATTATTTTCCTTATTATTAGTCCTAACGTTAGCAAAATAATAAAAAAAGGATTTCTAACTAAACTTATTTTAGAACAAGGTCCTAAGAGTAGTATTAACGTTAAGGTTACCAAAATTAACGAAAGATTTTACAAATCACGCGGCAACATACACAACAATATTCACATGTATATTCTTAATTTCATTTCCTATTAACACAGGTATCTTTGTATCTTTTAAATTATAAACATGAAAAAGACATCAGAAATCTGTCATGCGATACTAAATACAATTTGATACACCTATAGTTTATCAAAACTTTCATGACTTTGTTTCTGAAAATGAAAGAATTAAATATTTATTATTCATTAATATAATTGCTACATTCCGAAGCTTGTTATTGTGACCTGTTTGTTTATATAATGTAGATTATTTACTTTCTTATTTACTATTTGTTTCGAAATTGCCATGACCTCCTGTCTTATCTCGGCATACCATGTGATTACTAGCCGCCAGTGTGGTTATTATAGACTAATATCGTCTTATATGAAGAAGTGCCCAGCCAACTGGGACTATAATGAATTGTCCTATCGTTTGATCTTTTTTTTATTGCTATAGAAAAATTCTGTTTCTTGCTGTTGGATACTTCCTCATTATATAATAATTGGATCAACCAACATAATATCATTAATTATCAAATACACATTGTTTAGAGTTTTGAATGAATAATGATCTAACACATGTTTACATAGATTTATTTGTGATATGTTTTAAAACAATTAAAGATGGTTCAATGTATATTAAGTTTTTGTTACATGTAGAATATTTATATTGTTAAAAACTTTAAAGTTTTAAGTATCATTTTAGATTTAGTTTTAAGAGTTTAAATGTATTTAAATAATTTATCATAACTTTGTTAATATGTTTTGCGTTTTTTGTTTTAAAAATACATTGTGCACATAAAAAGTTATGTAATTGAACAACAAAGTTGGTAGTCATATCTAATGCCTTTTTATTGCTTTTGTTTCATTTTTTAATGCCAAATGCTAGAATGAATACTATCTTTTAACCGGTGCAGTGTGATAAGTACAATACAAAAAATTAACTGTTCAAAATGTAACGTGCCCCAACAGTTGTTATTCCATTCAAATACAACATATGCACCGTTAGTTTCTCTACAAATATCTAAATGTTTATACTGTAGATTACAATTCGCTAGAACTTTATATATATTATTCTCTAGAACTTTTGACTTGGCTCTTCAAGGTAATTAAGAATTATGTATATGAAATGTGTGTATCATCACAGTTTATTTCGCATATGCATTTCACTGACAGTTGCTGCAATAATCATCTATTCACAATTTTTTCCTGTAATGTGTGTAATTAAACATTATTTAATCGAATAATGTTTGAATAAATAATGTTACATAATAGATGTATTTCATCTCACTTAAATGTGTTTATTAGAAAATAAATCATAATTTAACAATATTTAATAATAGAATTTGCTGCAGTTTTGTCAATATTGTTAGAATTGAAATTTTCAGAAACATTTCTACTTGTGAATCATTTATTAATTAATCTGTAAGGTTATTAATTAGAAGTAAATTGTTTTATCTAATGCCATAATTAAGGCTTTCATTTCATATATATCTACAAAAATGTATTCATTATACTTAAACTGTTGTAACCAATGAATTAACTGGAAATGGTGTAAACTGGCCGTGGTTTACTGCATCATTATAATATAGATAGCATATAAGTGTGTCACAGACTTATTTTATAACCAACCATTTGTGCAATTACGTAGAAAAGTATTATTGTCTACACGCATTAATTACCAGTATTGAGATGTTAAAAGTTTCATTAAAAATATTTAATCGTCAGATAGATATTTTATTTTAAGAATAAGTACTTACTTTCATTATTGTGCTGTGACCCGAGATGATAACCTGCAGAGATTAGTGTAGTCATCATTATAATTTCTATTATTACGTACAATAATTTCCTTTGATTCGGACGTTTCCGTTGAAGCTAGAAGAAATGACTAAAGATCTCGTAATACTTGCTTATTCCGGGGGATTGGACACTAGTTGCATACTAAAATGGTAATGTTTAAAAAAATATATTTTAATACTGCAGCACTAAATTAATGTTATAACAGTAAACAATATATTCCAATAGGTTGATTCAAAAGAACTACGATGTCGTTTGTTACATGGCGGATGTTGGACAAAATGAAGATTTCCAAAAGGCTAAACAAAAAGCTATTACCATTGGAGCCAAAGACGTAAGCAAATTTAATATTTTTGATAACACCAATTTCAAATTTAACAAAATGACTAAATTATAGATTCGTACCTACTTTCTTGAAAACTCAGTACGCAAATATTTTTTTTTAATACTAGTTTAAAGTATAAGCATTTAATATGTAAAAATACTATTTTATACCTATACATATTTTTTGCAAATACTGTACGGTAACTATTATTATTATTATTGAGAAATGGCAGGCATAAAAACATATAACACTACTGCGACCTCTACGATCTTTTATGCTTTCCCTTTTGTAATGTTTGCTGCTAATTCCTTAAAACTAAATATTAAGAAAGGAGAATTAATCATCGCAAAAATTTTTATTTTTGTTAGGTATTAGTATTCTTTATCAATGCTCTTATACCGAATATATAAAATCTTGTGTTTGTTGAAAAAAATTTTTCAGGTAATAGTAGAAGATCTACGTGAAGAATTTATAAGTAATTATATGTTACCAGCCATACAAATGGGTTTAGTTTATGAGAATCGTTACTATCTAGGAACTTCTCTGGCTCGACCATGCATATCGGTTGGACTAGTGAATGCTGCGAAAAGACTTGGAGCAAAGTAAGTAGTACTTTAGCGCTCGTGTACGTGTATCACACTAGTAACAGACTACATGCAGATATTTGGTTTAAGAAATTCAAATATAAAACAGGATATTTTTGTATAACCTAGTACAGCAAACAATATTAACTTTTAGACTTTCACGCTGTATGGTTTATAGTTCATAAGAGACAGGAACTTTTTTTTATGCAACTTAGAATAGCAAACAAGCTGACGGCCCACCTGATGGAAAGTGGTAACCGTCGCCTATAGACATGAGCAGTACTATGGACATAACAGAGTATACTGTTTCGCCCATGATGCACCCCATGCGTTGCCATTCCTGAGGATTCAGGTGTTATTATCCTCTGTACTCTGTAAATTCACTACCATATCCCAACCTTCAAACCGAAACACGGCCATGCAAATAACTGCGTCGAACGTGATTATTTAAGTAAACTATGATAATTTGCCTGAGGTATCTCGACGTTTCAAACAGGTTACACCGGCCGTGGTCACGTGTAGACTGAGGTAATCCTGTCATGTTTCCACTTCTGAAACAGAAGTTTTTTTTTTTCTATCTACTCATTATTACCTGTCTCTTATCAACTATATGGCAAACAATGTTTTACGAGTATACAATTTTAAATTGAAATTTTCCCAGCCAAATCCTCACATAAAATATTTTTTTATGAAAAACTAGTTACCGGCACGGCATTTATATTCGTTTATAATTCCAGCTACATTTCCCACGGCGCTACCGGTAAAGGTAATGATCAAGTTCGATTTGAACTGAGTGTATATTCACTGTGGCCTGAAGGCAAGGTAATTATTTCTTTAATTAGATAAGTTACATGAAAATAAGTACGTATACTTGCATATATAAATACTTAAAGAAGTATTTATGTCACAATAACCTGACTTTTTATTCATGTAGATAATAGCCCCATGGCGTCTACCTGAATTTTTTGAAAAATTTCAAGGACGAAGTGATCTTATAGAATATGCAAAGAAAGAAAACATTCCTGTAGCCGCTACGCCCAAAGAACCGTGGTCAACAGATGAAAATATTATGCATGTAAGGTAAGATGTATAAAAAAAAACTATACACACTCACCAACAATGGTATTTATTAACATTAATCCCACTGAGTCTTTGTAGTTATTTTAATTATAAAGACCATCAATTTATTTTTACTACTTAGTAAATTAAACAAATTTCTCAATAGTACATTACAGCAGCGGCCAGCAACTGAGGCATTGATGGACGAATGTGCAAATGTGGGCCGAGGCGTAGCCGAGGCACATATACGTGAGTCCAACAATGCCTTGTGGCCAAGGCTTGTGTAGTACTTGTCTCAAACAATGCGCGGAAATCAAAAACACAATTCTACTTTTTAAGTTCAATGACGAATAACAAACAATAATAATTTTTCACGCGCCATAATGTTCCTTTGTTTTTTTTTTCAATAAACAGCTTTCTATTTGCAAGCCAGTTCGAAATTTAAATAAAACCTTGTATTAGTTACCTCCTTGGTAGCCATGTTTCGAAGTAAAAGTTCATTCCATTTATAAATTACAGAACAGATATAAGTTTACATAGTAATTTATCTGGCCGCAAAACACGACAGATATGGATTTTCATAGAACTTTGGCCGGCCGCTGCCCGCATGTATCTAGCCAGTACGGCAATTTGATTTATCTCGAAGAAGATTGTCAAAATAATGCTCACATTTCCAAGTATGTTTGAGAAAAGAAACTTAGTTCAAATACAATTTTCAACTTTTTATACCTATTTATACTTGTTATTATATGTACCTATAGACCGGCTTTAACGGCGCAGATTAAACGCCCTTTTTAGTGAAAACTTATCACAAGCTTCTGTACAAAATTACTGGCAGTGGTTTTGTGTCAGTCTCTGTATTTTAACCTAATTTTTTTACCATGAGTAACGAGTGAGCCGTCTTAGACAGTTTATCTTAGGAGCACAGTCCTGCTGTTCTGTCAAAAGTATTAACGTAACGATACGTGGCGTCTGTTTCACCTCCTTTGAACGTAGCCCCTCTCTTAAGGCCATACTGATTACGTGCACCTACTATATCAGACATACGTGAGCTAGCATATAAATATTAATAAAGGTTTTTATTATTATTTATAATATTGTTATTTGTAGCTACGAGTCAGGGGTTTTAGAAGATCCCTCAGCTATCCCTCCAAAAGGAATTTACAAAATGACCCGTGATCTACAACAAACTGAAGATTACCCATCAATAATAGATATAAATTTTGAAAAAGGTCAGTTTTAATGCGTATCATACCAAATATTTAAATTCGAATAATAGATATAATTCGATAAATAGATCCTATACCTACCTATCTAGCAACAGTCTTCGTTCATTTAAATTTTCGCTCACCAAAAACTATAGAACAATAATAATACAAATAATACAGTAATAAAAAACATACTGTAATTATATAATGGACACTAAAAATGTAGTTATGTGTAATTTTTACCGCTCTGCGAAACGTTGTGGCAGTACAGTGAAATAAATCCAGTTGTGAACTTGTAAAAATATCATTTAGCAGATGAGTGAATGATGCCTGATCAGTATGCAATGCCCTTTTCCGTGGTAGAGCAAATATTTCGTAATTGCGGTCGCGCTTACTAAGTTCTGAATCAGACATACTTACAAGGACCAATATTGACGCATGATACTTTATTTCCCTAATTCTATTAAAGAAATACTCTAGCAGAGACGTCGCCTTATCTCTAGGGAATTAATCCCACCATACCTAATAGGAAAATACTAGGATATATATCAGGATAACCTACGTGATACTCATATTGTTTACGGTACAGCCACCTAACAATTTTTATTTTTTATTATTTGTATATAGTTATGTACCTATCTACCTTTAGAACTCAGAGTACTATACCTTTAATATGTGAAACCTAATCCGTAGAAAGATCTTTAATTTGTAACCTATTGAGATTATTTTATGACATTCAATATATCATTATGTAAAATTACATCGCTAAATACGTTGGCGTATATAAGGTTATCTTTCAGAGCAGCCCTAATCTCTTAAACAAAGCGCATATCCACTCCTTCATATGTCATGCTCTTAGTTCAAAACCCCGCTCCTTGTTTTATGACGGGCACCAGACAATTCTGGAGTGGGCACGACTCATTTCCCCATTCTTCTTTGAATGCTAGATATTTATGTATTAACCATTAATTTACATAACAAAAATGTTAATTTAGGTCTGCCTGTATCAGTTCGAATCCCGAGCGGCCATGAAAATGCCTTACTTGTTACTAACTTCTTACCTCTGGTGCAGACTTTAAATAAGCTAGGAGGCCAACATGGAATTGGTCGTATTGACATCGTTGAGAATCGCTTTCTTGGATTGAAGGTAAGTATTAATATGAACGTAGGTTAATAAAAACATTTATTTGTTTTTAAATTGATCTTTGAATATACACTGTCTCTGCGAGTCACAATTCCAAAAACACTACTATTTTATTCATCAGGAATTATGAAGTTGGCGTCCTTTTCATCTTCATAATGATCAATTGAATAGTTAAGCATCAAAAGGTAATAAGCCAATAAACACATTCGCATTTATAATATTTATAAAGATAGGAAGTAAGATTTCGAAATTTAAATTTGATTAGTTGTGAATTTTATTTTTTAAATTGCAGTTGTGGTGAAAGGTCTGTCGATAAACGTTTAACATGACTATATACCCTTAAAACAAGTTAAAACAAATTACCAGAGGGAAACTTTGTACAAAAGTCGTTTGCTTGGGTACCTCTGTCCCATTCGTGTTTCAACCGTAAGGCAGTTGTTTGCATGACTATGTTACGGTTTGAAGCATGGGATATGGCTTGAATTGACAGAGTGCAGAGGAATAACACCTGAATCCTCAGAAATGGCAACGCATGGGGAGTATTATGGGCGAAACAATACACCCTGTTATGTCCATGGTACTGCCCATGTCTATAGGCGACGGTTACCACTTTCTATCAGGTGGGCCGTCAGCTCGTTTGCCATTCACTTAGAATGGCAAACAAGCTGCATAAAAAAAATAAACACGTGTGTCACGTACACGTTCCACCCAAATCTCATGCCACGCTCGTAGGCAAAAGTATAATCTAAGATATTTTTGAAAGCTCTTCTGATCGCAGTGTGAGAACACGCCTAAAAGTTCAATGTTTGCCACTATTTAGGCACATGTACAGATAAATTATCTGATGATGATTAGCCGTGATTTATCCTTGTTCTTTATTGAAAACAGAAATTACTTTAAAACATTTTTAATATAAATGTAAGGCAAGTTCAATTTTTACTAATAAATATCTTACAGTAAACCTCCCATTAGAGAAATTGTTATAAAAAGGATGCAAGAATTATATTTTATATAGATCTTAAAAAATTCCAAAGACAATCGTACAGATAAACAAATATTTAAATATATCTGATAGCCTTAATTAAAATTATGAACTTATAATATTTATTGGAATATATATTCAAATAAATCCTTCTATTGTTTTAATGCATTACAATTTTAGAACCAAACCATTCGCCTATGTTGTATTGGCTTGGACACAATATTATTGTACGTGTATTTAAAAATATCTTGTGTTTATTATATCCCATACTTGTGCCACTTGTTTTGTCAAAGTTGAAGTCGATTTTTTGTTAAACATAATTTTAATATATGAATAAATTTTAGTCAAGAGGACTGTATGAAACACCAGCTGGTACAATATTACACAAAGCGCATATTGACCTAGAAGCATATGCTCTTGATCGAGAAGTCTTACGGTAAGAATTACAATAGATTTTTTTTTTATCTATGTAATTATGAATTGAATTAACCAGCTCCAATTAATTGCAATAAATCAAATATAAATCAATTATCTATTTTTAATCACAGAGTAAAAAAATACCTTCAAGATAAAATGGCGGATTTCGTTTATAATGGATTTTGGTTTTCTCCTGAGGCTAATTATACAAAAAAATGCTTAGAGTTATCACAAGAATCAGTCGCTGGAACAGTTACAATCCAAATTTTCAAAGGAAATGGTATGTACAACTAACTATGCTAAATCTATTTATATTTTATAGATATCTTTATCAAAATACTATTTACTTATTACTAAACCTCAAAACTATAAGCTATATAAACTACAAGTGGCAAACGAAAATCGATTTCTAAATAGGTTTGTAATACGTACTATGCATGAGAAAAAACTAAATGCTGTGTATGACCAGCTATTTCATTTACAGAGATATAGTAACCTCATAATTATAAATTAATTTTGCCTAGGTACTAGTAATCAAGTAAGTTTTTTTTCTAAAGGTTGGCTATAAAATAGTAATCCCGCCTGCCCTATCGATATACGCTGGCCAAACACCAATGAGAGATAGTAGATGAAGCAGATCAGTTTTTTTTTTTTTTATGGGTGAAAATGGTATGGTAACCCCGCCTGCGCTAAACAGGATACGCTGGCGGAGCACCAGTGAAGGGTGATAGATGAAAATGAAAACAGGCTAGTTAGCCCATCATGATGAATTCTTCAGGAATTAACAATGATAATTTCCAGGGAGAACCGCGATGAGGTCGGCATGGTTAGGTATATTGCTAGCAATAGGATTCTCAGTCTCCATTACTAACAATGCTCATCTCTCAGCTCAGCTCATCATAATTAATTTCAACAGAACTAAGATATTTTCCAAGAGAAACAGCGTGAGATCGACCCAATGTACTGCTGGCAAGAGAATATACTTGTAGAAACCTCAAACATTCTAATTAAAAAACCACCTAAATATTCCCTCTCTACGTATCACGTAATCGTTTACGGATAGGTAGAAAGTTCTTAACAAAGTAAAGAAGAGTGTTCCATAGTCTATTATAACAAAAAGGTAACCATATTTTGTTCAATCATCGGTTTTATATTTATAGTGCAATTTGGATTTTAACAGGCTGTCTTATTGTCGGGTCAATTACTTTTGTTAACGCTTTCATTGAGTCCTATTGAAAAAATCTATATTTTGACTACTATATTCTGTTTTCAACTTTATAAAAATGCAAGTCAATGTAGAACAACGTGTTTTTTTCTCTAGCACTAACTGTTCGTTTTACCTATCCTTGCGTGAAGATGGATAAACATGTTTACAACAAAATTTTATTGTTACAGTAACCATTTTAGCCAGAAAGAGTTCAACAGCTAGTCTCTATAACAAGGAATTAGTGTCTATGGACGTCGCCGGTGGTTTTTCACCAGAAGATAGTACTGGATTTATAAATATAAATGCATTACGTCTCAAAGAATATTCTAGATTTACAAAATATACAAAATTTTAATTTTTTTTTTGGAATCATGATTTACCTTTTCGGATACCATCACATTTTAAGTATGCCTCAAAAGGCAACCCTATGTCACAGAAAGTTATACTAGTACCAAAATACATTATATTTTTCCAAAAAAATCCAATACCCTACGACCTGCACGCCGCCTATTATATATTGATGTTAAGTTAAATTTTCTATAACTCACAACAACGGCTATTCTTAAACATAATTGGAAGTACACAATGGTATAGTAACACATAATAATAACATATGTAATGTAATAAATAAATAATAGGAAAGCTGCGCTCTCTCAATAAATCTCTGGCCCTAAATCTGGTCATAAACAATAGGTTTCAGAGTTACCTAACCCATATAGCCATAAGACCACTTTTTGTATCTTAATTTATATAATTTAATCTGTACTTTATGTTACTGTATTTCAGTTACTTAATTTTCTAATTGTCATTGTATATTTTTATATTTTTGGTGCAATAAAGAGTTAAATAAATAATTGGATAAACGTAGATTATGTACATACCTATTTTTTAACGTTTTAATCACGTTACAGAAGAACACTATAGAAACATTTGATTTTTATGAAACCTAAGTTATTAACTTATATATTTTGATATATTTTATTAGACTAGTAGAAAAATATCAACTTTCTCACCTTTCACGTCATTTTGTGAAACTTTTTTGTACCGGTAGTTTTTAGAGTACTTTGAAGATTCTACCCAGTGATATCGCCTCTGCCTTCTCTTCCCCCCCCCCCCCCCCCGTGTCCCTTATTATGCTTTTTTATTTTCTATATTTTCTAATCGTATGACAATTAGTTTACAATATACAAGCTCGCATAGTAGACAACGCTGCGATCTTCATATATAATAGTTGTGTCCAATACATAACTTATTTTGCATAATTATTAAAAAAAAATATGTTATATTTTTCATTTATTTTATTTATTACTTTTAAATATTTATTTATTGAATCACCAAAATAAGATACAGCAAAACATTTCAATACAATAAATACATTGACAGATTAAATCTAACTGTTCTTACATTTATCGGCAAACACAGCGTGCTTCGTGTTTGATAAACATTAAAATGGAATTCAATTATTAAATGTCATTAAATAAATAAAATATAGTACAATACAATCTTACATTATAGGTATAATATTGTATAACCTTATATATATATATATATATATATATATATATATATATAACATAAATTTTAGCATAAATATGATACAGAAAAATGTGTTCGTAAAATAATATTATTTTTTATAGATATAGGTAACTTATACAATAATTGAAATGGTAAAAAATTACTAGAAATTAAATTACTGATTTGAAGATTTCAAAGAATCAAGACTTTGTTTAATTTTACCGAACTTATCAATCCATCCTCGAACATGACACTCGCAAAAAGGAGTCGTCAGTCTTGCATGACTTCCATATTAGCTTTTAATGTATGGATTTGGTCACAAATTGACCAGATATCGGAAGTATTAAAACTTTGTGTTTACTAGCAATAATATTACGAAATCTAAGATCTTAAGGTAATATTGTATAAAGTGATAAATACATTTAAGAATGTTTTATTTTATTTTTTAATGCTAAAATGTTCATCGGACATAAAGTTTATATATTCCTTTTATCACATGATCTGCTTTTCCGTTAGAAATATGTACATTATACAATATCGAAAAAATATCTAACTATAGTATAATTTAACTCTATTCGTTTCCATCTTGAACATCAGGCTGACCAACATAACGAGAAAAGGAGGATTTATTTGTGTAGATTTGTTAGATATTTCTGAACAAGTCGTTTTACTTGGCTTGTGTGAAGTGCGCTCTCTTTTACCTTGGAACAACATTTTTCTATAAAATTATATTACCAAGCTATAAAAAAAATCCATTACGGCCGTCTTGAATAGGCCCATTATAAAGCATATCGCCATTTTAAAAACAGCGCTTCACTCAGGAAAATCATGGAATGCAATAACAGAATCGCGTTAAAAATGGCAAATACCTATTGTTCTTTTAAATTTTTGGAGTCATTCAAAAACCACAATTTTTCAAAAAAATTTTTTTTAATTAAAAAATCTATAAATTTTAACATTTTTGTCAATAAAAATGCATAAAAAAAACTGAAAAACATTTGTTTGCATTTTGTTAAAGATTATGATCATTTAAAATCAAAATCGTGATAATTCAGATCCTTTAACTTTTTTAAAAATTCGATCGAATAAAACAAAAAAACGGCTCGATGGATTGAATTGAAACTTTGTTGGGTTTTTGTGGGTATATTGAACTGTAAAAGGCACACTCAACATTACTGGTTTTCTCAGTATTTCCATCTTAGCGCCTGATTATACCAAAAGCCCTTTTTTTCTTGATTATTCAAATTAATGTAAAAAATAAAAAAAAAATTCGAAAAACCATAGCTGATTTTTGTCGGAAATTTATTCAAGATTTCAAAACCCTCCTTAATTTTCTTGTGTGATCAGCGGTTGCTGAGATATTGATGGTTAATGAGTGCGGATATACAATTATTGTTATTTTGATTTAATTCTAACGTTGATACTAGATGGCGCTGTGTTAACACGCGTAAACACGCTATAATTCCCTGGAAGTCAGGTTCTAACATTGTAGATTTAAAATATTTTGTACTGTAATTTTTTTTTTTTTCACATTATACTCATTCTTTCGTATGTGGTGTTTTATTTCGAGGATTTTTTTGGTCTGTCCTATACCGCGGCGTGTACGCCATCATTATGTTCCAAACATCTTCAGAGCAGTAATACACCACACATCTAAGGCCGGTGTCAATCTAATAATGATTTCATCGATCACTTACTCTGTGTAAAAATCTTTACATATAGTCTGTTAATCTTTGATAATTAAGCTTTGTTGAGACTTGCGTCACTTCCATATTAGTTTTTAATGTATGAATTTGGTCAGGAAATGTCATGCCAATGTTTAGATAAATGATAATAACTTGATGCAAATGGCTGATATCTAAACTATTTGTGGAACAATTTTAGCTGTGTATTTCATATTTATTTTTATTTTGACGTGGGGATTACGACTGTATATAATTAATATTAACTCTATTACGAAGTATATATAAATTAATTGGATATTATGGAAAGTGCTGAAAAATTGTGTTTACTATCAACTATATTAGAATATTGAGATCTTAAGGTAGTATTGTGGACAAAAATATATATTTAAGTATGTTATCTTTTTAAAGATTGATGAATGTGAAAAAAGCGAAAGAAATTTGTTTGAATCGAAGCATTTGGCGTTCCATTGTTTCTGCCTACCCTAATGGGAGAGAGGCGTGACAGATATGTATGTATGTATGTATTATCTTTTGTTTTATTTTTGCTTCAAAAAAACGTTCATCGGAACATATAATTTGGCATAAAAATTTATAAATTTCTTTTATCACATGATCCGTATTTCTACTATCAAACTATAATACAATTATAACCTTATTCGTTTCCATTTTGAACATCAGGCTGGTCAACATAACGAGAAAAAATAAGATTTTGTACAGATTAGTAAGATATTCCTGACCAAGTCATTTTATGACTTGTATGAAGTGTCATTTCTTATCACTTCGTTATATATTCTTTGATTTTGTTTTGTTCATGTGAATATAATAATTAAATAATAGATATATATGGTTCTCTTAGGATGAACTTCAATTTTATTATTAAATACTAGTTAGATTTTAAATCGTATTTTGGATAGTCGAAAATACATCATTTTATACAAGTATTGTTAATTTTAGAACTTTCTTTTTACCAGCCACAATGCATAGAAATTTACCACAAAATAAAGAAGCTTTACTAAAATCTTACACAACAAGACTCAAAGAAGACGTTAAAAGTATGCTGGAAAATTTTGAAGGTAATGAAGTATAAACTTCTTTTTTATTGTAAACAATGCCTAAATATTTACTGTCAAGACTATTATTTTCGTCGCTCATTCCACAATTTTCAAATACATTTTTATATGAAAATTCATTTCCAAATAAGTTTGCAGTTAATTCCTCCGGGTACTCCATGTAGGGGAAACGCCTCAGTTATTGGCCACTATATAGTTTTTGAACACTTCAACTTTATTGCTAAAAAATAAACATGAGAACTCTTTCGATTAATTTTAAAATATACCCTTGTAATACTGTTTTACCTATGAAAACAGGATAATCTCATTCCTGCCACTGGACCAAGTTAGTGTCAATTTGTCGTTTTGTCTATTAGAATGAAAATAAGTACCTAAATTTCTTAAAAATATTGGTCAGTGGATACTCTTATTTTAAAAACATGTGAAATGTTTTGTTGACTTTCTGTTAATAACTGATGAATATCATAACAGGAAAAATTATAGTTATTTTATAAAATTTACATGTTTTAGTATATAAGTTGATGAAAAACCTAGATTCTGTTTAATGATAAAATATTTGGGTAACTAATTACCGCAATATGTGTTTTTTTATTTAATTTTGTTAATTTGGAGAAGTTGACCTTCTATTTTAAAAACCTTTATCTGCTTAGTATATATGGGGTTTTCTGTTTCTAAATTGTTAATTTATTTTAGAAATAATAAGACTAGCCAAAGGAGAACGAGGAGAGAATGAATCTCAGTTAAACAGAATGACCCAAATAGAACAGGACACTTTAGAAATGCAAGTCAGAGCTGCTAATATTGGTATGTGCTTATGCATTATTCATTTTTAAATAAATAGGTTTTCTTAATGTTGTATTATTTATTTGTTTATTTTTTCAGTAAGAGCTGGGGAATCCCTCATGAAACTAGTATCAGATATCAAACAATATCTGATATTAAATGACTTCCCCTCAGTCAATGAAGCAATCACACAGAATTCTAAACTATTTCGTACCAAACAACAGGAATGTGATCAAAAACTTATGTCTCTGCGAGATGATATTGCAGCAGACCTTTATGATTTAGAAGATGAATATTTTACTAGTATCTATAAATAAATTTAATTTTTAGATAGTGTTATGATGTAAATAAATTATAATTTAAGTGAAATATTTGTTTTTATACCGACCAACATATTTTCCATACATAGCATTAAATATGAAATTATATGCAGTCATCCTATTAAAAAATGCTCATGACTATAATTCTTAATGGGTAGTCAAAGTAATTTGTCAACTATTGTTTGCTTTGATTACTATCTACAAAAAGGCGGGCTTGTTAAATTCATACTGACTGTCTATGGGATACTGATATTTTTAGTCATGTGCAGTACCTGCAGTTTAAGCCTAATGCAAATTAAGAATATTTTTACTTTCTCTATTGCCCTTTGAGTTAATGTATACAGTTTTAGATTTGACTACTCATATTAACAAAAACTATGCTATAAATGAGTTTGATCAAAAAACAGAATAATAAAATTATCATTAGTTAATTGTGAAGAATTCAGCTGAAGCACAATAGTATCTAGTAAAAAGGTCAACCTGACAACACTTGCCAGTAGTAGTCTACATCATTAACAATTCAGAGGTATTGTTCCTTACTAAAATTATATCCATCAGATAGATATCTCGAACCTTTACTAATATCATATATAGGGGGGAGGGGAGAAGAGGATTTTTATTAATGGGGTCTATTAGTTCCATTGTTAGAATGGGTCAACTGGTTTGCTTTCATCCTCATATAGCATCTCTTATTGGTGCCCTTCCAGCATAATATCAATATCACTGGTGAGGTTACCATTCCATTTTCACCAATTTAAAAAAAATAGATGAAATTGAGGCTGGTTCGTAATAAATACCTCATTTATTGCCATATCGGAGTATATGATTTTCTCAAAACAATTATTGCAATAGGTTTCTTACTCTTTCAACCAAAAAATGAGAAGCATGTATTTTAATGAGTAATATTTTTAGTGAAATAAATACATTAGTATATTATCAATGAACAGATTTATTAATAGACATGACTAATTAAGTTACATATTTTTTTATAATCAAACATCTACTTTGGTGAAAACAAATAATGAGGTCCATCAGTAGGATACTGCTTTGCAGTCACTGGTCTTCCAACTTTATAGTCTTCCAAATAAACATATAATGCAAATGCTCCTGCAAGTGTTCCAAGAAACCATGTCCACTGGTGCAACAATGAGAAACGAGGTCTCATACTAATATCATAACGATCTTCTCCAAAAATCTCAGCACTTGCATGTAACTAAAAAAAATTATTTGCCAATACATATCAAATACATTTAGAAAGAATAAATTTGGCTAAATATGATTTATATGTTTCGAAAAGGTCTTTTAAAAGAGTTTAATATTACTTAAGATTATTCAAATCTAAATCAGGCATTGTTAAATTTCAGAAACAAATTATTTTCAATATCCCTACTTGATTTATTAAAAAAAAAAAAACTGTAGTTAAAATATTAACTAATTTCTTAAAATTTCAAAAACTTTCTATTTAATTTAAAATTTCAGGACAATGACAGTATGTAGTAATATGGAATAGATAAATAACAGTTACTTAAATATTAATTATCCATAAGAGCATTAATTTAAATCATCATTTATGGTATGAATATTCCTAATTTCATGTTTAACATTACACATGTATGTGGAAAAAGCCTAGGTATTTTTTTTTTTTTTATTTCACAGGATATGTATCATTATATAGTCCTTTAACTTTTTAGAAAAATAAAATTTAAGTGTACAAAAAAGTTTATTCCAATTACCAAATCTCAAATTTACAAAAAATAAATTCTTTTGAAATTTGCCATTGTAAAATATATAAAGCTATGACCAATGTGCAAATTTTCTGGATTCCCTATCCAGATATCCCTTATCCTAATCATAATCATCTAAAGAGGGAAAGGGATTGTTAGTAATGGGGTTTAACTGTGCCATTGCTAGCAATACAGGATGTATTATGTTGTATCAGGTACACCTCCACATGGTTCCCCCTGGAAACCATCATGTTTTCATAGAGGAATTCATCAAGATGTGTTAACTGACCTGCTATCATTGTCACCTATCATCTCTCACTGGTGCCCTGCCAGCGTATACAGATAGTGCATACCATTCCATTATCACCCATTAAAAAAAAATCATAATCATCTAGTGGTATGAAATATACTTCAGTCTATTCTCATATCTGCATACATAAAAATTTCGACGAATAAAATACGGTTGAGTCATATTGGAAGAGTATGACCGCAAACACTATAACACTTTATATATATATCTCTATATATCTATATAGAGACTTTATATATAAGATTATTACTACTTACGTCTACTTCTACATTGTAATTTGAAATTCAACTTACTGGTTCATTAAAATTCCTTTTCAACTCTGGGAAATCGTAGGGATAGTGTGGGTCTTTTGAATCTGCACCAATGTCCGGTAACTTGGGATAATCACCGTAACCCATGTCTTCGGGATATGGTTGATATTCCTCAATTGACAATCCATATTTCTTTGCTGCTGCAGCACGTTCTTCGGGTGTTTTAGGGTAAGGACCGGGTTTATATTGATAATTCCAATCTGAAAACACAGTGACGTAACAATAAGGCACAATTTAAAGGTCTAAGAAAATAAATATTAGCAGCTCAGATTGCTCTTACGATTCCTCACGGCATTGAAAATCAACCCAGAATTTTTACGAAGCACGTTTTGCTTAGACAAAACCACTGATTTCAGTAAACTAGTCATTTTTTCAGAAAAGAAAATATAGCCTAGAGCTCAAATGAGAGCATTCTTTAATTAGGACATTTTGACAGTAACTTGACATTCTTGACATTTAGTTTTCATTTATGTCATATACTTTTTAAAAAATTAAAGGATACCCTTAAAGTCTTTAGAATTCTTTATTTCTCACAATAACATCTAAGAACAAGGAATAGAAGGAATGATAAAAACTGTAAATCATACGGTTGCCTCCTTTCTTCTTATGTAAATATAATTAGTAAAAAGAGAACGATAGATACACTATCAGTTGCTATTTTTCTCAATTCATAACAGGCTAGTGTATCGAAAATATGGATGTAAACTTTTTGTTCATATTGATATGTCAATAACAAATTTTACATTACTTGATTATATATCCGACTCAGTTTATGTAGAAAGTATGCAAGCAGGTTGTATCTGAATTTGGTAGATAATTCAAGATACAACCTGCTTGCATACTTTCTATATGAATTGTGTCGAATATATAATCTAATAATGTAAATGAACAGAAATTTTATATACACTAGAGATGTGCCGACTAGTCGACAACTAGTCGGTAAAGCCGATTATCCGGCCACTATCATAGTCGGCGACTAGTCGGCAATTATTTGGCGCCGACTACTGGTTTATTACCATTATTGGAATTACATTAAATAAAAACCTTGATTATTTTTTAATATTTTTATTTCATAATCAATCAGTCTTAAACATTTTGAAATATTTTCTGCCCGGTATGTTATATTTTGGTTTAACTTTTCTTATTAAGTTTCTAAAGTCGATATTTTCGATAATTGATAACGGCTGGTTGTCAAGTACAATCATTTTACCTATCGCAATATTAATGTCTCTTGATCTTGAATCTTCACGTGACCATTGTACAGCAAAACTATCTTCAATATTTACTTAGCTTTTCTGATATAGAAGTAAACCGACCTTTGAAGTTAATGGAGTACGTTCTGTTGTAGGTAGTTCTGCTGCTTGAATTTGCAATTGGGAAGAATCGACTGTGTTTGAACATTTGCTAGCAGAACCTAACTCAGGTATCAGGGTTAGATGTCGGTACTTAATATGGTTGTTCATACTTGTAGTAATTATCATTTGGCATTGGTTACACTTAACTTTACGAGAATCATTGTTCAATTGTTCAAAAAAAATCCATACCCAAAATTTTCTTTTTGACATGATTCAATTTTAAATGAGCTTTCTCACTTTAATGAACACTAACAGTGTTATTGTCATACAAAAACAACACTGACGCTTAAGATAGCAAAGATCAAAAAACAATACGAAGTAAACAAAACACGATCCGACACGTTCGCGGGCGGCGTTTGCGACTTACGCGCGAATCAGCAGTAAACAAAGTGTTACGGATATCACCGAAACTGTGATAGGCTTGGCCGGCTAGTCGGCTTCTTTGAAACCGACTAATCGGCTAGTCGGCTAGTCGGCCAAAGTCATGATCGGCACATCTCTAAAATACACATTTTCTATATACTAGTCTGCTATGAATTGAGAAAAATATCAACTGATGGTGTATTTTTCGTCCTCTTTTTACTAATATATATTTGTATAAGAAGAAAGAAGATAACTATATGATTTACAGATTTTATTTTATCATTCCTTGTTCTGAGGTAATTCTTGTTCTTTGGTCTTTAGACATAGTCTCTCTTTCTCTCTCTAATCTGTGATATAATTTTTGCGTGACAGTTGTGTGACAGATTATCATGTTGATATCTTGTTTTCTTTTTACTTTTATATCTCATTTTTAGTTATATTTAAATACGTAAGAGCAACAGTAAATGGATAGATGCAAATAGGGTCTATTTGTTCACATGATGGGAAATGAAAGTTCGCAGTTAAATGGGTTAGAAATCGAGGAAAAGGCAGTGGAAGTGACGGATTTTTGGTCCCAATATCAAGCCACGATTAAAGACAGTTGTAGATATTTTAGTTTGAAAAGTGATGGATCAGTATCAGTTTTTAAAGGAGAAGCAGCATTAGGTCCACTCTGGGCAGTTTCAACGCCTTTGGAAAAATTTTCCAATGTAGGTTACCTGATCAACTAAAATATGGTGACCCATCAAATTACGTGCTGTTTTTCGTGAATAATTTATTTAACCCTTATTTATTTGTAGAATCTATTAAAATATCGGCATCCATGTATTGTTCGGTACATATCAGCATGGCAGCAGCGTTCTACTCTTCACTTAGCTACTGAATATGTCCAACCTTTGTCCCAAGTTTTGATTACACAGACACCTCTTCAAATTTGCATTGGTCTCAACAATATTTTAAGAGCTTTGGTGTTTTTACATAATCAGGTAATTTCTGTTTATTTTACGATTATTTTAAAATATATTAAATTTTATGCATTATATTATTTATGCAGAACATGTAATTTTCTATTCTCATGAATATGTTAAAACCCATATTTAACATACTCTGAGTTATTAAAATCATGCTGTAAAAATGTATTTCTATATTCCAATTTAGTCTGTGCTCAGTAGTGTCTACTTTTAATCCATATTATTAAATTTCTGCAGTATTGATTATATATCTGCAATATGTTTGTTTCCTATTAGCTTAAAAGGTAACTTTTAATTAAATTTAAAAATATAAATAATGTACAGAAATAAACAGTCACTAGCAGAGACCTGTATTGTCCACTCTTAATAAATTGTGTTTTGTGCACTGAATTGGGATGAAGAAAAAATATGTAGATAAAGGCTTTTAACATTTGTTCTCTCTCTACCTACTCTTTAACAGTCCTGATATGAATATATATGGCAGTGAATTTGCAGGGTACAGAGGAATAACACCTTAATCCTCAGGAATAGCAACACATTGGGGGGCATAATGGGCTAAACAGTATACTCTGTTATGTTCATGGTACTGCTCATGTCTATAGATGATGGTTATCACCTTCCATCAGAGGGGCCATTAGCTTGTTTGCCATTCTAAGTTGCAGGAAAAAGTATTTATTATAATTATAATATTTAACTTTTTCAAAGAGATCCAGATGCAATGACAAAAAACATTGACATATTTACAAATAAATCATAGGTAAGAAGCTATCTCCAGGTGTGCAGGGCACACCCTAAAGTGTAAATGTCTTTGTGCATTATAATTTTGATGATGACAGTAATCTTACTATAGAAATAAAAACCAAAAACATTAAAAAATTACAGACTTTGTACTAGATATTTCTTTGTTAGTTATATAGACAGGTACATCATGTATATAGTGCATCATGTACATGGTGCAATATTTTGATTTAAATGTTTTATTTTTTTCTCTTGTGTGGTGTACTGGTAATATGTACATTATGTATGTGATTATTTTAATAAAAATCATAAAATTGTCAGTTTGACTTGAACTTTGACAGTTAATATGACTTCCTGTTAGTATGACTAGTCCCTTGGCTGTTGTTATAACTGGATTCTACTGTATGTGATTTTTGTATGGAAATAATTTGATATTAATGTTGTTTTATTATAATAATAAAATGTGTTTAAAATAGTTAATCTGTGCTTATCAGTACAGTACAGTAAAAAGAAAAAAACATGTGTACCCTTTTGTCAAACACTGTTTATTTTTTCTATTCACAAAAATCTTGATGGTTTTTGTGTATCTCTTGTTATAAATAAAGAGTATCTGTCCGTCAATATATCAGTACTGGCACTAACACTTGACCTGGGTAGAGCGAGATTGTCTCATGGTGTTCTTTGGTTGATGCTTTCACTTCATTTAAATTTTACTTTGGTTATATTGTAAAAAAATAATTATAATCAAATGTTTAAAAATCCACTTTAACACTGCATCCGCACCTTTAAAAGAGTGCCACCAAAATTTTTTTTAACATTGGAAATTGTGTTTTACATTTGATTTTTGGCATCCCATGCCATCTAGGGACTAAAGCAACTGCTCCTCTTACTCTATCTCAGTTCAGATGTTGATTCATAGAATGACACACCCACCTAAAGAGTCCATTATAGAAATAATGTATAAATTGGTCTTATTCTTCCAGGCTGGTATGTCACACAATAACATAAGTGTATCTGCAGTTTATGTTACTGGAGATGGACAGTGGAAACTTGGTGGACTACAGTACCTTTGTTCATTTTCTGAACTTACTCCTGCATACTTGAAACATGCACGAATCCATAGGTAGATACAGTAATTAATTTCATTTAGATTATCTTAATATCATTTTAGGTGTTAAACATGAATAAACACTTTATACATGTTTATAGATGTTCATGTTTGTAGATAGATGAGATCAAAAAGACTTGTACAGATACAATTTTTTTAAAATCATATATGTTATGTTATTTATTTACATTATTGATCTAGACCAAATCATTAGTATATTCTAGATTCAGGAGTATAGTAATAAAAAGCCTAATTTCTAGAGTTATATATAATATTTGATTACTTTTACAGATATGATAAAGCAGTAGATCCAAATGAAGATTCCTATACATTAACTACAAAGGTAGACCAATATGGCTTTGCTGTTCTTGTTGAAGATGTTTACCGTAATCATAAAAATGGTAATCATATAGTTTTATTGTTATATCTACATATATATTTTGTAATGGAAGAAGGGTAAGAAGGTAAACTAAGAATAGTAACCTCACTAATATTACTTGTATCAATGCGCTTTAACAGCTTACCCAATCACTATGAAATTTAGCACACACATACTGTATAAAATTGAGAACATAGGCCATAGGTCGTAAACATATCCCAGTCATGTAAATGAAGATGCTGATAAAAGCTATTAGTGCATAAATGTAGAATTCCATATAATTTTAGATAAACTCTTTAGTCATAATTTAAATCGGTACAAAATTATAAGAATAATAACAAATTATAAATAGTTTGCATAATGATTTGCTAATGATGAAATCTTTATATTTAGCAAAGCACAATTATGCTAATAAAATATTTTAGTCAGTTAGCCCATCGTGATGAATATACATTGCTAGCAATAAGACTGGTAGTCCGCATTACTAACAATGCCCCCCCCCCCCCCCCTTAGCTTGTATTACCATAGTATTACTATTATTTATATTTTTTATGCAAAGAGATATTTTAAATATTACTCGACTTTATGCAAGTAATTGAGGTTTGTTTTACAGATGATGTTCCACATTTAAGAGAATTCAAAAAATATTGTAGAGACTATTTACAACATGATGACCCAGTACAAAGACCAGACTTGTCAGCCGTACTTCAACACAACTTCTTTAACCATGAATTTATATCAATTTACAAATTTTTGAACTTCTTACCGCTTAAAACTGAAGAAGAAAAATGCCAAGTATTCACGAACATTTTGGACAACCTAAAATGTTATGATGAAGAAACTGTGGCTAAACAGCTTGGTGGATTATTACTCTCCAGACTGACTATGTTAGACCAGACAGCCCGAAAAGATGTAATACCCTTCATTCTTAAACCTAAAAATGGTAATTATTAGATATTACTTCTTTTAAATTTCTTGATTTTTTTATAATCAATTCTATAAAGATTTCAAAGAGAAAACTCAAAAGATCATTTTACTCTCATAGAAATAGACATTTTTAGAATTTAAATAATATCATTTAATAGTATACAACTTACAATTTTTGCTGAATACTTAGTGATATGAAACTTGATTTATATTATTTGTATTTATTGTTGCAGAAAGATCACAAAATGGGGAACATACAGGTTTCTTCAGTTTGAGTATATTTAAAGAACATGTCAAACCAAGATTAATGCAATTATTTGGAGTTAGGGATAGTCAAATCAGAACTTTATTATTAACACACTTTTCAAAATTTGTTCATGTATTTTCTCATGAAGAATTATCCCAGCATATTTTACCAGAGGTATAATCAAATTCTATGTAAAATAAGGTGCAAATTTTGTTCAATGTATGTTTGCCACAAAAAAAATTGGCATTAATTAATATTTTATGTAATTAACAACTAATAATTATAATATACATATGATTTTTACCATAAAATTATTAAAAATCCATGTGGTTCAACCATAGAATGGGCCACTCCTACCTTTTCCGTAGGTGTCGTAAGAGGCAACTAAGGAAACATCATCGTGGTATAAGTAGCAGCGTCACTCTATAAATATCACCAAAGCCTAACTGCAGTTGTCAACCCGCCTATCAAGTGTAGCAATTACTGGCAATACCCCTCGAGGCGGAGCTCTATGTTTAGCAGTGAACAGTTAACAGCAAATATGATGATGATTATATTATAAAATTTATTTACATAACAGAATTACATTTTAAAATACATAACCATTTAGACATTAATTTAAAAATCCGAAAGATTATATGAATCCACTCTTATGAACAAAGTCCTAAGGAGTCTTACAAGATGTTTTTGCTTACAGTTGCTGTTGGGCATCAAAGATACAGATGACAATTTAGTAGCAGCAACTCTAATATGTTTAAGTGAATTAGTACCAATATTAGGAGGTGATACAGTAATTGGTGGAAAAAGGTCAAAATTTTTCACGGATGGAAGACCTAATTCTAAATCTGCCTCAGAAAGTGTACATGATCAAAAATTATTTTCGACAAAATCCTTAAGAGACCTCCCATGTTCTGAAGATATATATAACCATGAAGAGATAGAAGTAAGATATGAAAAAATATTAACAATGAATGAACGACCATCACCTGTAGGTGGAGAATCCGTTGAAGATGCAATAACAGAAACGACGACAAATAAAGCTGATAGTGAAGACGATTGGAGTGATTGGGATAACAAAAATCGTAAACTTACTATAGTTGAATCTGTTGAAATTATTAATGATGACAGTAATGATAAACAGAACAATCATGAACATATGTTGCCTTGTTCTAATCTTTCAAAAATACCAACAACAAATGCTGCAAGTAAAACACTTTTGCAAAAAGCTGCAATGGAAGCAAAAAAAAATATTTTAGACATATCAGAGCTGGATATCAAGAGTCAGAAGATAGATTATTCAAAGAAAGGTTCAGATGACTTTGATTTTTTTGCTGATATGAAACCTATAATAGAAAAACCGACAATTGTCACAATTGCTCAACCCAATATGGCCGATTTAAGTAGTAAATTAAACTTTATTCCAAATGATAATCATGATGATGATGAGAACGAAGGTTGGGGCGATACTTGGAATGATTAACTATATTAACAGGGTTTGCACTTGTCTATTGTTGAAATTAAAACGATTATTTTAGAGAGTATTTATTTAATATGCACAGAATGCTACGTAGTTTGCTCCAGTGCATAGAAATGTATATAAGTTGTACAATGTAAATAAATTTAATAAATAATGAAATTGCAATGTGAAAACAGGGATTAAATTCCCATTAGTGACACAGTGTTCTTGTAACAGTAATAACAATGTGTCTCATTACCAATATTATATAATAATTATTAAAAATTATGTAGGCTGAGATTAAGTTTATTCAAAACTTCGTTTTATTATACCTTAAACATTATTTAAAAGGAAATAATAGAATTTGTATGAGATGATGTCTATAGAAACAGTTTTCAATTAAATAATGTGCAATCACTGATCGAATATTGTGATTATCACAAAGCGGTGCAACGCCGAAAATAAATTATATTCCAACAAAATGATATTTGAGTAGTTGAGTAATGAAAACTTAAGATAGTTTCATTAAAAAAATGCTCTTTTTTTCTGTTAACCGCTTAATGAACACCTCCGTGACATATACGGGCAATGTTTACCGGCAGAATTGTGCAGCTCCGTAAACGTCACGGACACTGTAATTTTATATGTCTTAAAATATTACAGCTCCGTTAGCATACTAAGATTAATATGTATAGATGACTTTAAATTTGTCTCAATAATGGCAATTAGGCCTACAGATTTAAATATTTATTAATTTCAGTTCACAAACATAATTACCTATTGTACATTAATATAACTTAACAAAATTGCTAGTTATCTTAAACTAGTAACTGGTATGATACATATACGAGTTCTATATTGTTCAGGAGTATTAAAATTAATAAATATTTAGATCTGTTAATTCTGAAAGACACACTCTTTGAAATATTGGATTTTATTTAAAAGCTATTATTGTAAATGTAGAAATACTAATATTTACTACCAAATACTTGCAAAATTATTGGATGACATTTTGAAATTCTGTTACAAACATGCTCACAACCGCACAATACAAGACACTTATGTATATTGTAATCTTTAACAACACAGCCCAAAATTATAAGTAAATTGCATGCTTGTCTCTATTAATTGGCTTTGCCAATAAACATATTAATTACATTATTTGTAAAATACTGCTACATATGTCCTTATAATGTACTTAAGTACTACTCAATTATCTAGAAGTAGTGACTATTCATTAGAGCTGAAGTGTTGTCTAATATTTACAAAAATGCAATAATAGAATTAACTAAAGTTATTTATTATTTATTTAATCCTATATTTTATTGTTTGTGGAAACATGGGAAATTCAGATACAGCAATGAGATCAATTTTGAAGTACCATTTCCTAAACTTATCTCTAAAATTACAATTTTTATCTATATTATAAATGTGAAAGTACGTTTGTTTTTTATCTCTTAGCACCTTAACAGCTTAACCAATCATTAAGTGAAATTTGGTATACACATACCCACCCCCTTATTCATATAAACTAAAATATTCTACAAACCTATTTTAACTATTACACTATTTTGTTACTTTCTTTCATACTTTGAATTTTGTGTAACAGAAAGAGACAGAACAATTCAATAGCTAAAATAGGTTTGTGAGAGATTTGATGTTTTAATGAATAAAGAGATACTATATGGAATGTTAAGTGGCACTTCATAGTAATTCTACTTGTTGGTCTTAGCTGAGATCAAAGTTTCTAATTATAATGACCACTTATTTAATACTAATAAATAACATAATCTATAAATAATGAAAAATTAAATCACAGGTACACTTGACTAGAATCAGTTATATAATACTGAACAGAGAATAGATACTACATATAGATACATAATAATCATCATCATAATGATAGCTACATAATATTTTTCATCTAATATGTTACAGTTCATATAATATTGAAAAATAAATTTCATATTTCATATTCTATAGCCAAAAAACTTGAACAAAACAATAAACTATGAAGCTTGCACAATAAATTTAGTATGTAAAATTGTAACAGTAGAAGTAGTATGGTATTCACATTCAAATTATTGGCCAGTATCTGTTAAACTATACCTTAATTTTTTATTATATTATTAAGTAAAAAAAATTACTTCAATAATTGTGTAACCATAATTTTATACCACAATTTTGCTTTGTACTACCAAATCCTTTGAGCTCTCATTAAAAACTTCCATCATTTGTTCACGTGCTAGCTCAGACAGTGCTTCTAAGTCATTACGAGTCATTCCTTTGGTGGGTATTGGAGGTAAAGTTGTAATAACTACTTTTCCTGTAAATAGTTTTATCTGATTAGAACCATAACTTCTAGAATTGGATGTTAATAAATTCTCTGATTAGTAGTGTCTGTTTAAATGTCCACCCCTTTACCCATAAAAATTCCTACAAACCTGTTTTTACTATTACACTGTTTTGCTACTTCCCTTCAAACTGAAAGTTTAACATTAAACAGACTAAACTATAAATAAAGTTGTAAGTTTAGTATACAATATTATTAACCATTGAGAGCATACAGAACATATTAGAAAGTACATAGTCTTGGGAAATATCAAAATATTAAGATTTCTAGGTATGGTATAGATCTGAAACTGAAATATCAATTTATTTAGATCATAGTTTTTTCAACCTTATTTAGCCCACTGCTTACTTTGCAAATATATTTTTTTAGCGCCCTCCCTGTCTTCTACTGCTCTCCTGAAAGTCTCAAACGTCCACAAGGTGATATTATCACCCATTATATTGTAAACTTGTGATTTAGATGAATTGCTAGCCTTCTTTGGTAACATTTGTAAAAATAAGTCTAATTGCACAGTGTAGACAATATTATTGTCTCTCACAATATTCAACTTTACGTTTTCTTTAAAAGTAGTATAAATAACTTACCAGGTTCAAATGTTTTGCTCTCATTGTCCAAGAAATAATATTGGCTAAATACAACTGGCATAATAGGAATTTGAGCATCAATTGCTAAATAAAAGGCACCTTTTTTGAAAGGCTGTATACTGCCTTTGTTAAATCTAGCTCCTTCAGGAAAGACCCACAATTTTGTCTAAAATGAAAAAATATATCATAAAATTGAATAGGATCTTCACACTTATCATTGTATCTAAGGTTCTTAAACAAAAAAAATATGCAATTTTGCAAATTGCAATTATACAATTATTAAAATAATTATTTAAATATATTAAAATAAACAATAATTTTGAAATGTTTAATGAATGCCTAATTAGAAATTTTTAGAGCAGACTGAAATATCCTGAAATGACATGTTCTACTTTTGTAATGCGACTTCATTGTTGTTTCATATAAATTACTGTAAACATGTCATCATACCTTTTCTTGTATAACACGCTCAGTGGCTTCCCTCATTAATGTCCGAGCTCTGTCTGTTTTTAGACGGTCTATAAATACAAGCCCAGAAAGCCAAGCTCCAAATCCAAAGGCACCAGTAAACATCAATGGTCTCTTTGCAACAACTGTGCAGCGTTTCATTCGTGGCCACATCTCAAACATACCTTCCATCAAAAAATATAATGTTATAAATTCACAAATAATTAATATACGATGATATACATCATATGTTAATTATTACAGCTTCATAAAGATATTTACCCAATATATCTAATGAGCTTTGATGATTAGATATTACAATGTAGCACTGCTCATTGTCCCAGTGTTCCATGCCTCTTAATTCCCATTCTATTCCCACTATGTATGAAGCATAACGACAAAATCTGGAAGCAACTCTGAAAAATAAAGTATTAATCAAATATTTTACTTAGTGCGACATGGAGTAAATTAAAAATCAATATCTTACATTAGGTTTGTAACATCCCTGGGATATAATAACACTACAGGTAATAATATGGTACAAGTAACTAATACGTAAGCATAATAAACGAAGAACTTCAGGTAATATCGAAAAACATTACTCTTTTCATATAAAAAAGGTAAGGTAAATATAAAACCCGCCAAAAATAATTCAGGATATGAATATGAGGAAGTCATAGCGGAGGTTTAAAACACAGATTCAATACTCTTTGCACAGATTAGTTAGTCAAATATATTGTCATTAAAGTCATGTGGATTTGTTCTTAGGTGGAATGGAAGTGGTGAACACCGATGCACTATATATACATGGTACCAGTAGAGTCATAGGATACTATAATACATACTTAATATTATTAGGTGTATATATATATATATATATATATATATATATATATATATATATATATATATATATATATATATATATATATATATATATATATATATATATAGATATATATATAGGAGAATTGGTCGAGGTAGGCATTATTATTAATAAATAACCTACCTTGGCTATTTAACTAAACAATAAAATTATAAGAATCAATATAAATTCATTTTGTAATAGATTTAAGTTAAAATTATTATAATTTTATTTTATAATGGTCTATGTAAGTCGTGCTGTGGTATAGCCGTGTAGGTCTCATAGAAAAGGCCATGCCTTTCTTTCCCCTGGATGTCGAAAGAGACGAAAAAGGGAGAGCGAGGATGGGCAGCAGTGTCTCTCTTAAAACATCTCCAAAGCCTAACTGCGTTTGCCATTCCGCCTGTTAAGCGTGTTAACTACTGGCAAACCCCCCAAAAAGGGGAGGTTTACGTTCATCAGTGGATAGCAAATTTGTTAATTAAAATGTGAAGTTAAGAGGTAGATTTAGAGAAATGATATCCATAACCGGTCCCATTGAATGCAAAGATTGTTAATTTTTTATTCTTAAGATGATAATTATTTTTAATTAGAGTAAATTTATTCTTCCTGTTTTACTAATGTGGAATAAAATTACGAACCTATTAAGTATATTTAATTGTTACTCGACAAAATTGTTAGATAAGATAGTTTATCACCTCATAAGCTTTAAAGAATATCAAAAACTGTTTAAATCTATTTGTCGAGTTTCCATAAATACCATAATTATTTTGCTATAGGTTTGGAAATATAGGCATCAGAAATGTCCTATCACAAGGTTATAGAACTAAGTAGCCATACTTTATTTTTATTACTTTAAATGTACTGGCAACATTTAATATCAGCATAATCAGAAATTAAAAAGTAAAAATTTCTTTCCTTTCTGCTCGTGTATCGGTGTCCCGTTGGATACTAAGAGCACTTTAAAATTCTTTTTTAACAAAATGGTGAGCACTTAAATCATAAATTAATCCAGAATGGTTTTATAGAATTAGTTTTAATTATATTTGTGCAAATTTATTGTGATGTTGTGACGCGATTGTTAGAATATTCTTTGATTATTTGTCAATCTGGCACTCTTATATTTTAGTATCACGGTAGTTATTACCAATTTGTCTTGTATTAATTAAATAAATATGTTTCCTGTTACTTGAATCTTAAATCCACCGCTATATACTCGAGTAGGCTAAGGAAATGATGAAATGTCGACACATGCGCGTCATCTGATGCGGCAGGAGAAGACGATCAGTCCTTCAGTTACGTGTTTTACGGCACTGCAGTGCTCTGATATTCTTTCGAACGTCGCTATTATGATTATAAAGTGTCTCTGATCACCTTATCTAAATCACCAATTAGCTTCTAAAGTTCGCATATAAAATAACCTTACATTCCTCCTTTTTCAGGGTTTTGTGAAAGTGGTAAAGAATAAGCAGTACTTCAAAAGATACCAAGTTAAATTCAAAAGGCGTCGTGAAGGCAAAACCGATTACTATGCCCGTAAACGTCTCATTGTCCAAGTATGTAATGAAAACAAAGTATACTTTAATAACTATTATTGTGTGAGATATTGAGATTACCAATAAACAATGATATCCGTATAAATTAATAATTCAAAACCATTTCTATGTAAATAATTAAAAAAAATAGCTTTTTATTTTAGGACAAAAATAAATACAATACACCCAAGTATCGGTTGATTGTTCGCCTCTCTAACAAGGATGTGACCTGCCAAGTTGCTTACTCTCGTATTGAGGGTGACCACATTGTTTGTGCAGCATATTCTCACGAATTGCCTAAGTATGGAGTCAAGGTATGTCAGTATTTTATTTGTTTATTATTACAATTCAGTATTTAATGTTTTTAAGCCAATCATATCATATGATTGGCTTAAAAAAAACTCCTCTATAATAACTTCTCATATGATTCATATGAGAAGTTATTATAGAGGAGTTTTTATGATGATTTTGAACGGGCGGTCTGAAGCGTCGTACAAACGCTCAAATCATGTTGCTTTATGTTCAACACTGAATCAATTTGTCTTAAATTTGTTAACATTTATTCATATTAAGCAATATTAAAAGAATTACATATTGTTATAGGTAGGCCTGACAAATTATGCTGCTGCTTATTGTACTGGTTTATTGTTAGCTCGACGTTTGCTTCAAAGACTTGGACTTGATAAACTGTATACTGGCGCCACTGAAGTCACTGGTGATGAGTACAATGTGGAACCAGTGGATAATGGGCCAGGTGCCTTCAGGTATGATTTTACATAAGGTAGTAATATAGTAAGATTTCAAATGATCTATGATTTATATTCATATAATTTTTTTTATACATAGAGATTTCTATGCATATATTCTTAAAGATATCTTATGATTTAGTGGACTGAATGATTGTTAAAAATTCTTTCATTTTAAAACATATGTACATAAAATTTTAGATGTTATCTGGATGTTGGTTTAGCACGTACCACTACTGGTGCTAGAGTATTTGGAGCAATGAAGGGTGCTGTAGATGGAGGTCTCAACATCCCCCACTCAATTAAGAGATTCCCAGGTTATGATGCAGAAGCAAAGAAGTTCAATGCTGAAGTACACAGGTATTTTAATTAGAATGATAATTTAACTGTTTATATTTGCTCCATTCATCCTCTAATTAATAGATTGTCTATTAATTAGGCAGCCCTATAGGAGCAACATTAAATTGCTAGACTTTTGGTTGTTAAAATAAATTGTATTAAATTTTTTTGAACCCGTCTTGCAAACAATTTTTATTGTTAACACAGTCATACCTTTATCTTGGATATGAGTTTGTGTATAAAAGAATAGAGTATTTTATAACATATACATATTTAGAAGGGATCGTGATGAGCTGTGCCCACTCCAGATTTGGAGCCTCTCTCTGGAGATCTTAAGATCCGAACAAAGTTTAACAAACAATTCTTAGAGTATATATGCACTTTTCTTAATGAAAAATAATTTTAAGTACGACAATAATAACATCAGCTTACATTATCGATAGGTTTGTTATGTTAAAATTATTTAAAAAACAAAATCATAATAATAACAATAAAAATCTGATTAACATTACATATGTAAAGTGATTTTGTTTATAGAAAATTTATAATGATGAAATTATTTCCAGGTCCCACATTTTTGGTCTACATGTGGCAGAATATATGCGCATCCTTGAACAAGATGATGAAGACTCATTCAAGAGACAGTTTGGCAAATACATCAAGCTTGGTGTCAATGCTGATTCTGTAAGTTTGTTTTAATTTCTCAACGTCCGAACAAATTACTGCTTTTGTTATGTATAACAGCAGTGTCGAAATCGGACAAAATTATAAGGCAATGTAACAAACAGTACTTTTTTAATAAAATCTGTTTTAAAAGTTTCTTATGTTGCGATATTTTTGTTTATAGAATTTATATTAAATTAATATTGAGTTATTGAGCAGGTTCAGTGTTGTATAGTGTTGACTAGAAATAATGGTAAATAATAAGGTGGATCTCCTTTTGGAGCTATAAGCTACACTTGCTAAGATGATGCTGGAGTTTTTTAATTCCATTTTTGTAGTAATTTTTTCTATGGCTCTCAAAAAAAGCTAAAAAATAAAAAAAAGGTAATTTGGAGTGTTAATTAAACATTACTTTATTTTTTTATTAACACTCCAGATTCCCTTTTTCACAATTTTAACAGCGAAAGAACGATTTGTGCTTTTTAAATGACAATATCAGTATCAAATTTCGTGTACATATTTTCAAAATAATTACCTGTCGAAACATAATTTATATACTACTAATATATCCGCTTCATTTAAATTTACTGGACTTATCAATCTGCATTCGTAATAATAAAAAAATCTGGTCAATTCCAAATTTGAGATAAATTAAAAGCCACTTAGCATGTTGAATAACCACATGGCAAGGCCCCATAGTCATATTTATTTTTTTATTAAGCAGTATGTCACCATATTGATATGAAAATATATTGCAGATTAAACCTATAGTATAATAGGTTATAACACAAAATATACATTTGATTAGAAATTATTTTATGTTTTCTTTTCTGTATTTTTACAGATAGAGCCTCTTTATAAGAAAGCACATGAAGCCATCCGAGCTGATCCAGCACACAAAAAGAAAGAAAATAAGAAAGATCCTGCTAAACAGAAACGCTGGAACAAGCGTAAACTAACTTTGGCAGAAAGGAAGAACAGGATCAAGCAGAAGAAGGAGTCCTTCATCAAGAGGCTCCAGGCTCAAGCAGAAGCTTAGAAGGCTGTTAACATTAAAAGCCATTGAACATACATTTCTTTTATTTCATCCTGCACTTTATTTTCATTCTATCATAGAGATGACGAAATTAATAAATACTTTTACGTCCTTCCAGTAGTTATGTGTCTGTGTTATACCACAAATTTGGACATTTTTCTTTCTGGTTCCAATACACTGCATCAGTTTTCGTGTCGATGCTCTTCCTTAACCTTATAGCTTCATAATTAGCTTCTATTTGAGATTACTGCGGGTAGTTCTATCTAGGTATACTCAAATGTAAAATATATGTGGCAATTATCACAGCATTATTTTAAAGTGAAATGTTTAATAATGCTTTTTGGTAAGGATTGTTAGTAATAGGGTCCCCTAGTTGGCAATGAAATTAATTATTTATGAGGGTCAAATGACTTGCATTAGTATGTATTGGTATACTATGCCCCTTCAGTGTGTACCGATAGCGCAGGCGGGACCGCTATTTGACATTCACTCATTAAAAAAATAACGCTTTTTGTGAAATGAAGGTGTTCGAAGAAACTGCAACATTTTCAAAATGCCTATTGTGTAGCGATTTGAGAATTTCTAATACTGCTATAATTATTCAAGTGAGCAGTTCATTTGAATCATTTTCAATCATTTGTCTACTTATTTCATAGTTTTCTTTTTTGTTGTTTTTTTTGTTGTATCGTTAAGGTAGTAGATAACAAGACTTTATTACTATTGGTTTGAGTCGGATTACTAATTCCTAAAACCATAAATTACTAAAATAAGCGATGAGCTCATAAAATATGTTGCACAGTAATCCCAGCATAGAATGGACCACACCTTTCTTTCCCATGGGTGTCGTATGAGATGACTAAGGGAAATTAATGATCGACGGATAGGCATTCCTTTCATCACTAGTCTAACTATAGTTGCCTGGGGGAAAAGGGATTGTTAGTAATGGGGTTTAACAGCCCCATTGCTAGCAATGTGCTTGTCAGGTCGACCTCCACGCAATTCCCTCTGGAAACCATTATGTTTATGTTGGATACAGATACACCAATACATTATATTCTGACAGCAACTGTCATGCATGACGCACAGCATAGCTATCAAAGATTAGGGAGAGTATGTCTAAAGAAAAATTATAGCAAATGACATCTTGTTTTTGAATTTATGTTGTTATTGTTGTTGTAGGTACGCAACTATGTTCTTGTCATAAATGTTGTTACGTTTATTTTTATTTAATTAGTGCTTTATGATTTGAATGAATGAAATCAGTATTCATTTTTCAAATTATATTACAGTGTGTGGTACAATGTTTAATGTAATCATTACATAAAAATACCATTCTTTGCACAGAAACCTCTTCGAATTTTTAATAGAAATGAATTCTACAATTATTTCCATAGAATTAAAGAATATTTGTAGAATATGTTGTCAAAAAACTACAGATGGATTTGAGTTGTTTTGTGAGCAAGAACGCTCTAAAGATATTTTAGAAAAATTATATCTTTGTTTTCATATTATTTTCAATTATGAATCACATTTACCAAATACTATTTGTAAAAATTGTCTCCATGAACTAAATATGGCTTATAATTTTAGATTAAAATGTATCACATTTGAAGAAAGATTTCAGATATATCTTAAACAGATAACTCAAAATAATGAAAAATCTACAGACTCATTAAGCACAAATAATTTCAGTAATCCTAAAATACAATTGGATTTTAATTCTGCTAACAGTCAAAGGCTTGATGTTTGTGATAATGATAGTTCAGGTATCTGTGATTCAACTAATAATTCAATTCTTGAGACAATAACAGATAGGAGTACCACAGTACAATTTAAATGTGAAATTTGTTATAAAATTCTCAAAACAAAGTCATCCTTGTTAAAGCATAATATATCTATGCATCAAAAGAGAAAGCGTTTAGGTAAAGTGACTGGGTTTGGATCTGGCCGCCGCTACCATTGCACTTGTTGTTCATATTCAACTCCTCACAGCCAAACTCTAGTAAATCATATGAGGAGACATGATGGAGAGCGACCATACCATTGTGAATGTGGAAAAAGTTTTACCCAGTCCTCAAGCCTTGCAGCACACCAAAAAACTCACAGTAATACCACTTATTTCACATGTGCTGTTTGTGGAAAGCAATTTAAGCATGCTTATTCACTTAAAAATCATTCTCGTGTACATCAAAGTGGTAACTTGGAATGCAAAATCTGTCAAAAAGTGCTGAAATCGAAGCAGTCAATGAGAGATCATATGCATAGACATTATAACATTCGTAACTACAACTGTGAAGAATGTGGAGATACATTTGTTACATCATCAGAATTATTAAATCATAGAAAGACACACAATTTAGAAAAAAAAATTGAATGCCATTTATGTGGCTACAAGACACATACAAAGAAAAATTTGATAATCCATCTTAAAAGGTATATAATATACATATATATTTTAATATACATGTTAGGTAAAATGCTTTTTTCAATATAATAATACAAATATCTCTATAAACAATACAGATAGGCAATTTTTATAAAAATATTGTCTATATTATAATTATTAGAATTATAAAATACCATGTATTCATATTTGTTATTGCACCTGTAAGACCATATGGAGGTAGACCTGATGGGGTATATTGCTAGCAATGGGACTGGTAGTCTACATTACTAACAATCCCTCCCCCTACCTGTAAGGTTTATGAAAATATGAAAAAATAAGTTTTAAAATTAGGCTGCATATAGCAAAATACCAAAAGGATTTAGCCTCTTTAAAAATAGATTAGTTTTTAAGTCTATAAGCCCAGTGGTATATAAAGCAGTAATTATATTGGTTAAAAGAATCAATCATCATCATCATCATCTTAGCCATTATCCGTCCACTACTGAACATAGGCCTTCTCCATAAAGTGCCATAAAGAATGGTGCTGATCCATCTGCATCCACTGACTCCCTGCAATGCACATCAGGTTGTCATTTCATCTAGTGGGGGTTCATCCTACATTGCGTTTGCCCATACGGGGTCGCCACTCAAGAACCTCTCTTCCCCAATCGGTTGTCGGTTCTTCGAGCTATGTGACCAATCCATTGTTACTTCAGCTTGCTTATCGTTTGGTCTATGTCAGTTACTTTTTTTTTTATTTGCGGATATTCTCGTTGCTGGTTCTGTCACGCAAAGCAACTCCGAGCATAGTCCTCTCCTTAGCACGCTGAGTAATTTGAAGCTTTTGTATACGGGCAACTGTATAGGACCATGTTTCGGTTTCATAAGTAATCATTGGCAATACGCACTGATTATATACACGCACACACACGCTATACCTTTGCCTTCAAACTTTGAGGTATTGAATGAGTATACTTTATTTGCAGTATACATTAAAGGGGGAAAACAACACAATTAATAAATATAACAATACAATTGTATAAGTACAGTAAGGCGGTCTTATTGTATTCTGGATGAGAAGACGTGGCGTAGTTTATTGAACGCTGCCCAGACGAGTTGGATTCGTCGATTGATTTCTCCGTCAAAGTTGGACTTACCTAGTCGGAGAAGTTGTCCCAGGTCGTCTCATAGTAATTTCGAGCGTAGTGCGCGTAAAATAACTATCAGGGGGTGATTAGTGATCGATACTGATGCCAAAAATGCAATCAGTAAAATTTTTGTCTGTCTGTTCGTTATAGAGACAAAAACTACTCGACGGATTTTAACGAAACTTGGTACAATTATTCTTCATACTCCTGGGCAGGTTATAGTATACTTTCATCACGCTACGATCAATAGTCACTAGAGAAAGTCACTCCATTTTTAAGCTTCCGTCGCGTGTACAGCCTTAATCTCTCTCTTCGTCCTCTTTATTACTGAAGGTCGTATCCTTGAAAGGTGTCTGTTGCCTCTCTTATGATGTTATTCCATTGTGCACGGTCTTCAGCTTCTCGCTAGCCTTAATAGCCACTTTTTAAAATGTAAAAATGTCCACCCGTGCGATGCCGGGACGGGTCGCTAGTACAAAATAAAAGTGTTATTCAATCAGTGGCAAAACACAACACCCTAAGATCACAGTTCTACTTTTAGAGTTCCATCTTAAAAGGTACATAGGAACCCTTATGTTGTGACTTGGCCAATCCATCTGTTACTGTGCTATATATATTTCGGCAACTACTAATGCTATTGACTTGAAATTTAGTTTTACATGTTGTTGATACACATATTTTTGTAATAGAAATATAGGTCCTCTAGGTCGAAAAGGAGCACTCAAAATTTCAAAACGATAGTTCAATTGGGGTATCATATGAAATAGGTTCCTTTGTACATTTTAAAACTAATAATAATAAGTCCTATATGCTTTTATAGAGAAATATGAATATTGCAGCACTATATGTAGTTTAAATGTTCCTTCATCACATACCAATTCATTTTAGTGTTATGGTAATTGTTACCTTTTAATTTTGCAACAGTAAATGTTATATATTTTTTTTATCTAAAGAAAAAAAAAACAACAAAAACCTTTTATAGATTATTTTATGTACAAATTTCATGGTGAATGAGTTTAACTCACATTTGACCGGTTTTATTTTTAACAGACTTCAAAAAGAAAGTTTCTCAATTTGGTTGTATTTTTTACCGACTGCGTCAGTTGTAAACCAATTTGTTTTTAATTTTTAGATCAAAATACCTGGTATTGTCACAATTCAAGTTCGTTTTTTTGTGGAACAAAATTTTAATTATTTAATTTTTATTTCATTATTAATTCTCCAGTCGTTTTCAATATTATATATTATTACTTATTTTTATAGCATGTGATGTGCTTTCAGACATGCTGGTGACAAGAATTTTAAATGTGAACTGTGTGAAGTTACATTCTATACTAAAGGGGATCTTCGACGACATCGGAGAGTTCACACCAGAGAGAAGCCTTTTTCATGTCCAACTTGTGCACAGAGGTTTACACATAGTCCTAGCCTCAACAAACACATGCTCACCGTACATGGTATTCAATATAAATGGAGTGAATTCAAGTGGAAAGGAAATAAAAGAATGAAACTTGATCCCAAAATAGAAAGTTCATAATAAATATTATTAATAAAACTATTTTTAGTACATAGAATTTATTTATCACCTACATACCGAATTTTTTAATACAATCTAAAAACTTATTTTAAACTTAAATTAGTGCACTTGGGGCTAATGAAATAAATACTTAAAATGTCTGTTTCCATTAACCTTCTAACCGCTCCAGTCGGATTTATCCAACATCTGGTTGTTCAACTGTTTACCTGCTCCAACATTACCCATAGCAAATATAATAGAGACAACAATAGTAAGCAATGTTATAAAATGCTTTGCCTAGTCAGAAATAAAAAACGAAACAAGCACATCAGTAAAGTTGTCGACTTGAATCAAGAGTGCTAGAAGCACGGCAACTGTTACAAAGCCAAGCAGTCAAAGGATTAATAAAATTTGAAACGGTAAAATTATCATTATAATAAAATCTTATCTGAGTACGATAGGCCTGATATACCTTAAGAAAGTAAAAGCATATAACAATAAAAAAAATATCTTAGTTATTTCACCGAATCATATTGATATTCTTATTGCATAAAATTATTAAAATGGTTCTTGTTTAAATGTATTAAAATATGACATGATTGATCATTTGCGTAGCTAGGATTATATATCCTAAGAAGTGTAACCAGACAAATCAAATGATCAACATATGATAACAGTTATGTTATGGTGAGCGTACGTCTGATTATCTAGTTTCTCGACTTATTAATGAACTACCTACAGATGTATGGGATAATATTAGTATTAATAACATCTAGTGTAAATTAGAAAAATACTTTTTGCATGATGATAATACAAGTTGAATAGTCTCAATGCATTTAGCATTAATATAAACCTTCGTGTTTTCTGAATATTAATAAAACATATTTTCTGTAATTCTGAATATTTGAATAAATTTAAAAAGAGTAAATTTTATTTATTTTTTTACTTTAGTAAATCTGATGAAAATAAAATCTATTATAAACTTAGGTATTTTTCTGTAATTGTCAACATTTAACTACATTTTCTCCATTCGAATACCTAGCTACGCCTATGAATATAGGCTTCAGTTATAAAAATGGTGACCTTAGTGAGTAAAAACACAAGTCATTATTTTAATCTTAAAATAGAAACCCCTATCTCACCCCGATTCCAAGGGTAGTCAGAGAATAAATAGAAATCTTTTTCAGTTATAATATCAATGCGATGCAATTGCATGTAAATAGTACCTGAACTACTAATATGTACCTGATTTTTATTACCGACTTGCACCACGTTGTGGTCACGACAGGATAAAAACTTCGAAACGTCGGCAATAAAAATTAGGTATGTAAGTACTATTTACCAGCAAATGTATAACTGCGTATTTAAAATGTGTCAATAACGCGAAAATTTAAAATCAACTAATACACGTCGTATTTAATGTTACATAAACATGCAGTGGATCAATAAAGGTACTATACCTACGCGTACATGAACGACACACAATGACAATGAAAATTACGTGTGCTAAATATTAATCACGTGACATAATAATGACATAATTTAAACAACAAATAGATCTTTAATCTTCCTCATAATCCTCATCATCGGAAATGTATTTGCGCTGCTTGCGTTTTCTAGTGGGTGTATTTTTACTTTTGCCTTTCAGTTTTATCTTCATTTTAACTGAGCGATTGGACTCACCATCAGAATCTTCTTCATCTGTAAATTAGAAATGGATGCACGTAGTGTCAGTAAGTGGAGCCAAAGATTAAATTATTTTTATTTACTGTCTGTCAATATATTTAAAAAGTCACTATATAATTTTACATACGGTAATTGTACACCGATAATATATTAAGCACCGAGATCCTATATTTGATGTCTTGTGGATACATTCAATTTAAAACAATTCGACAAAATATAAGATGTTTTTTTGGGTATGAAATGAAGTTTTTTTTTTTTTAATTTTTCCTGTTCGGAACGATAACAAAATAGGTACTTTAATAAGAATATTAATAAATAGAAACATGTTACCAACCTTTTTCATTATCATCAGAATCGTCAGAGTTCTGTCCATTTTCATAACGGCGACGAATTTCTATGAACACGTTGCGCAGTCGTACCGAGTCTTCGTATATGAGCGACGCTTCCTCGTTGTACGTCTGGGCGTTCGCGCATAATGTAAAGAAGTCTCTTTCTAAGTCCGTTATGTCGTTATACTGTGAATAAATATTATGTTAATCATTCGCCTATGTTTGAGAAGTCTATTAATATAATAAATGCGAAAGTTTGTAAAGAAGGAAGGATGGATGTTTGTTACTCTTTCACGCGCAAACAAGAAAATGGATATGAATGCAATTTGGTACACAATTAGGTTATATCCTAACTTAGCATAGAAGATACTTCCTATACTGACATGTAAGCAAAGCCGCGGGATACAGCAAGTAAAAAATAATTGTTCCACAAAAAACTGCAATCTTAACCAAATTGGTATAGAATCAATTTATCTGAAGCATTACCTAAAAATACATCCATACACATAAAAATAAATATTTGAAGCATTATTTAAGAAAATGTATATATACCTTAGAATCTTCAATTCTGTTCATTATCTTTTTGATATCCAACGGCTTCTTTATTACGTCATAGTAATCGGGCAGTTCTCGTCGCGAAGGGAGCTTCATGAATGGCTCCGACAACACACGCCCACCCCTGATTAGTTGCGAATAAATACCATTAATATTTTATTTATGTATATATATTAAAAATATAAATGGCAGGTATGGAATTTATAACAATTATAACAAAACCTTAAGGCCAGTGTGTACAAACGAAGAAAATATTATAACTAACTAACTTACTCATCAGTATAATCAATAACTTTCTTCATGATGCTTTTTAAACGTTTTTTTTGTTGATTAATTTCAGTTTTGCTTTTTTTCTTAGAGGAGCAGGGAACTTCCTCTTCATCTGAATCCTCCTGGTTGCGACTATAAAAAAAAAATAATAACTAAGATGAAAATAACAAATATAAGATCATATGTCACAAGGGTGGGAAAACATTAACTGGCCGCTAGTCATCAGGCGGATGGTAAGGTAAATAAAATATTGCATACCGTCGCTTACGTCCCTTCTTTCGCTTTTTGTCCAACACTTCATCGTCATCATCCTCTTCCTCTTCATCCTCGAATTCGTCGTCGATGGCCTTAAGCCACTCTTTTTCAGTGAGGGAGTCCGTGTAGTCTACCTCCTTGCGTTGACGCGACCCGCGGCCCAGCGTCTCGTCCTCGTCTAAATAATTCCACCCTTGACCCTATTGACAATAATAGGTAAAAGCACGTACATTGAATATTAGAGTTTTATAGTATGCTTCAATAGAACAATAAAAAAGTGTGTTGAAATCATCACAGAATAACTTCTTAAATGAAATTAGCAAAAAAATCAAAATATTCAATCAAGTATTGTTGTATGGACATAAACTATTTGATTTTTTTTAATAGCCCGACATTTAACTATACCATCATGAGCAAGCATAAAGACAACATGTTTGTTTACATTGTAAACGAGTTATTGACCCAACCATAAGACAATCTGTTGTTTGTCTGTTTCAAACAATTTTGGTACGTTTTAATAATAAAGATTCACATACTTTTATAATTTCTATTTCCTTTGTCTAGTTAACAGCATGATGTTAATAGTGAAATTACTTCAACATGGCAACATCATGTTGTTAATCTGGAGTGGAGTAACTATATTTAAAAAAAAATAAAGTGCAATAATATTCTTTAACTTTAAGCTGGCATTTCTGGAGCTGGTCTTTGATGATTTAATTAATTACTACTTAATTAGCAGTTTGATTTTAATTTATAAGGAAACTTAAGTAATTAACAGATGACTTAAAATTACAAGAGGCATGTGTTAATTACTTAATTATCATTTTATTGTAAAAAACTTTAATTAGAGTGCTTGCTAAAAAGGAAAATATATAAATACAAACCTTATTGCAGACAACTTCATCGTCATCCTTTACGAGCCAATCAGGTAACTCTGACTCCTCAATGAGTCGCGATTGCGTTTCGATCTTCTTGCGATCCAAATCAATCTGCTTGAAAATCTCAAGTTCCTCTTCTGACCTCGCTACCATCTCATTAATCAAATCATCATCAGGAACTTCATTCTCCTCCTGTTATTAATAAATATGTGTGGTTACAAGAAATTTTACATCTTTTTAATGCTCTGTCTCAGTTGTAATATAATTTTAATCAATTTTAACATTGTTTTTTGTAGATCATGTAGAGTTATATAAAATATATCAAACCTCCTCATCATCTCCATCTTGATGTAGAATACTTTGCAGGAACTGCTGTCGCTCGGAGCCAGTCGATTTTTGATCGAACATACCAGCTTGAATAACTTTTTCGTCCATGTTCAATTTATACCTAAATACAAAGGAAATTTATAATTTAAAACTTTTACATTATCATTATATGCAATCTCTATTGTCCACGCTACACAAGATATATAAGATATAAAATGATCGCTCTTTTCAAATTCATAGCAAAGTAAATGACTACAGAATATTCCCTAATACTGCGTGTCGAACGTGCTCTTAGTCAATTTTTATCTCTATATAAAAACAAAAACAAACATAGAATAAATGACAACTGTAATATATTTGTTTCGAATATCATCAATCGGGATCAGCCGGGAACAATTTCACCCTTATATAGTTGTTGTTTCACCTATTCACTCATTGGCACTTTAACATGGGGTTTTCCAAACCTAGAGTGAATAGATATTATTTGAGTTTGCGTGTTACATTTTAGATTGTAGTCAAACGCGCTCAAATATAAAAAAGAAGTCAAGTGGGAATTTTCATGTGACTTACCTTAATTTTATTTGAAGGGTAAAAGACCAGTGCAATGTCTGAAGATACATTACTATAAGAGAAAGAGGCAGGGTATAAGGGGAACTATAAGTAGCAGAGTATAATTTGTTATCCTCACAGTATAATTCACGTCCGAAAGAATTTATATATATATATATATATATATATACACACACATATATATATATATATATATATAATAAAATATTACTAAAACTTAAAACTAAAAAAATCAGGCAAAAGTGTTTACAACTTTTAATAATAATAGAATAAGAAATAAAATGTATATTAAACTGTTTGACATTTATATAGTACCTGGCGGCAGCTAGAATTCTCTCTTCAACCGAATTGACAGTCATTAGTCTTAGGACGCGTACTTCATTACGTTGACCGATGCGATGCGCGCGATCTTGGGCTTGGAGATCCTGAAGACATTTAGAAACAGTATGACTCGAGAGTTACATATAGTCATAATAACAAAAGATGTCAAGTATTTTGAATAAATATTCGAAATATAAATTAATCAAATAAAAAAAAAAATTCCAACTTATATAACTTTTTTAATGGAATGTAATTTTTTAAAATAATTTTAATGAAGTATCACACAATTAGATCTTCACTCTACTACTACTACTGCTCCAAAATAATCCAAGACTTACCTGATGCGGATTCCAGTCCGAATCGAATATAATAACTGTGTCAGCACTCTGCAAGTTGAGCCCAAGTCCGCCGGCGCGAGTCGACAGTAAGAATATGAAGTAGTCCGAGTTAGCATCGTTGAATTTCTTTAATAGCTCTCCACGATCCTCAGCCTTTGTCATACCGTCCAATCTACGTAAAAATATACTTTGAAACTCATTTCCGATTTTTTTTTTATAATTGAGGGTGGTAATTAGCATCGATAAGAGGATGATAAAATTTAAAAAGGATCTGACAAAGATTGTAACAAAAACTAATGATATTCTTTCTTATTGTTTCTTGTTCTGTGAACAAACACTGCAGTGCTTATCGTCATCACTTCAGCCATTGACTATCCACTAGAAAGCATGGGTTTTCCCTCAAAACCTAATGATAAATTATTTAGTTGAAAATATAAACTCACCTCAAGTATTGGAAACCTCTCCAGGAAAGATAATCCTCAATGATTGTCATACATTGGGTCATTTGGCAAAACACAAGCACCCTGTGCCCAGTCCTCTTTAGTTTCGGTAGGATACGATCCAATAGTTCAAATTTCCCAGACACTCGGTATAAGTCAGGCCTGTATAGAGTAAAAAGCAAAAAGAAAAAAAAGTCACACAAATTGCTTAATACATATAATAGGATTTCATTAAGAGGAACTAGTAATTGATTTTAGAAATATTTCTTTTCCGAATTTGCTGCATATTATAATTACACATTTGGTATGCAAAATTATTAGGGATAAGTGTTATTGATGAAATATCGATGGCTTAATATGGAAATTATTGAATACAATATATTATTATAGTTTTAAGGTATGCTACAGTTTAGATAGGAAACAATGGTTCACTACAAGTTATGTCCTAAAAATAATCGACGTATACAATACGTCGATTATTATATTTTAAACAAATTTAAAAAAAATATTATAAAAAATGTTAAATTGAAATATAGTGTGAGATATTATAATAATTATTTAATGAACTCCGTGATACATTTCTATTTTGTAAAATATTGAACAATTCACTCTTTTAGGGGTTAGTTCTTATTGAATCTAGAAATAAGGAAGATTAGTTTTAGATTTCTGATTATGTAATATTTTATCAATATGATACAATTCTATTTTGTAAAATATTGAACAATTCACTCCTTTAGGGGTTTGTATTTGAGATCTAACTAAATCTAGAAATAAGAAACACGAGTTTTAGATTGTACATTACAAATAAATATTCTTCAGCGTTATTGAAAATTTCAGCCCTAAAGGGCTGAAAATTTGTATAGGGTGTCTGTTATTTTTGAAGTCAGAAATATAAAAGTTTCACCCCTATGATTGTGATAAAGTACTCGTATAACTTGTTTAGAACTTGTAAATATTAAGTTTTAGATTGAGTTTTTTGCTAAGAAATATTGTATCTTTTTTAAAATAGTATTTTCCTATGGTCAAGAGGGTGTGTTCTAGTATTATAACAAATGATATATTATGACAAGTAATTAACTATTGATTCGATAAAAAAAACTCATTTTATGTAATCAGTAGGTTTATTAGGTGCATGCATGGTGTGCGGTCAAGAGGGGCGAGATGTTGCAGATATTGATTTGATTGTAATACAATTGAATTCTTTGCGGACAAAGTAGTGGGCAATAACTATAATCTATAAGACTAAAACAAAAAGTTATTTCTGCATAAGGTTCAGATAAAAGTTAGTTTTAGGTATAATTTCTATATAAAATCTTATTAAAATTCATTATTCTCTATCTTTGTCAACATATTGACGTGAAAATTGAAAAAAAAAAGTCAAGTGTAAGCTAAAAATATTTACCCAGTAACGACGCCGCCGCCGGTACCAATGTGGTCGCAAAACTTCTCCTCAATGTGTTGGAACATAAATGGATGGTTGCAAAGTTTACGGAGTTGCACAATAGTGTTCATAAGCGCTTTAGCGCCACCCTTGCCCTTGTTGCCTTTCTCCGAGCCATCGGTTAGGAGCACACCCTTCGACTGCATATGTCTGAGAAATAGTTGACAGCAATTAATAATAAATTATAGAATCCGTTTAATCAAGATAGAAATAAAAAATATCATCCAATTACGTAAATATTATCAACTACAAAAAAAGAAGGTTTCCAAATCGGTTGTATTTTTTTTTATGTTTGTTACCTAATAGTTTCATCAGTTGTAAAACAATTTGAATTTTTTTTTTTACTAAAAGGATATACTTACAGATTGGTCCTAAAGAAATTTTATCATAACCGGTTCAGTAGTCAGTTTTCAAATCAAAATAAATGATTTTGCCACAACTAGTCTTTTTTTTTTGTGGAACTTAATCTTATATTCCATTAAAAGTTCGAAATACAAAGTTAGGTAATCGGTTGAGGTCAATCTTATATTATTATTGATTTATTATAGCAGTGTAGTCTATAAATCACACTCATTATGCAAAATAACCAACAATGAAGAGTTGAATATGTAGCATAAATCTAGAAACTATTCTAAGAAGAAATCATAACTTATATTTAGATTGTTTTATTTACTGAGTATTTAGATATGTTCTTTGTAACCATGTCAAGAATATACATAGTATTGTACTCACTTGTACAGTACGCGCTGGAGGCCGCTCATGTCACATTTGATGATGTACTCGACTTTGTCAGGTAGCTGACTCTCTACTTCTTTCTTCAACCGCCGCAGTAAGAAGGGACGCAGCACTTTGTGCAGACGACGAATAATAAGAATTGTTTCTTCTTCATTCAACTCCACCTGGGAGATTTCAGATTTTTCATACCATACGGATTTCATACATTCCATCAGTAGATGGAGCACACCATGTATATAATCACAGATGTAGATAAAGACAGGTGACGCGAGTATCTTAATAAAACAAATATGTTCACACGGCTGTAATTTTTTTTGTGGAATCATAAAAACTGTTTATCGATCCATAGAAATTCCATTTGAAAATACTACTTTACTTTTAAATTGTTTTAAAACATAAATATAGTTTCAGTAGTAACATAAATTTCAGTCAATGATGTTATTTAAATAAACAAATAGTATACTAAGTTGCCAATAAATCACCTTTTCACCGGTGGTAGCGAAAGGGGCATTGAACCACTGTTCAAATGTAGAGCAGCTCTTGAAGATGGAGGGCAGCAAGAAGTTGAGCAGCGCCCAGAGCTCGGGCAGCTTGTTCTGCAACGGCGTGCCTGTGAGCAGCAGCCGGTGCGGCGCCACGTAGTGCGTGTTCAGCACCTGTGTCAGCTTGCAGTGGTGGTTCTTCATTCGGTGACCCTCGTCAATTATCATATATTTCCATTGCACCTGTTGGAACAATATGAATCCGGTTTGGTTAATAGGACCCATCATGTTCATGATAAAGTTTTATTTATAAGATTATTTGGGAAAATAACTCCAAAAAAGAGGAGGTTCTTCATTTTCTGTATTTATTTTTATATATAAATTACGTAATAATAAGTTGTTTATTAATACATATAATCACTTTTAATTATTGAAAAGCTTTACTTCCATGATAGTTCCATTCCATAGATATTTTTTTTTAAATTATTATAGATTATAAATAAGGTCAACTTTAAATGGTTTTAAATTAACAATAAAATCTACGTTCATCAAACAAACAAAAATAAGAAATTAATTTAAATTCATATCTTTTAAATTCTATGTACATAAAGAATTGTGGGTTACCTTAGCCAGGACTCCTTTATCTTTGATAACATATTCGTAAGTGGTGAGAAGGACGTTGAACTTGGTGGAACGCATCTGCGTCTGTACGAGCCGCCGAGAATGTGGCGAGCCTTTGTACGACACCACCGTGACGGTCGGTGCCCACTTCTCGAACTCTAGTACCCAGTTGGATAGCGTACTGTAAGATAATATAATACTCAAAAGCAGCCCTGCATATACAACTAAACATATATTTTCTCTTGTTGATTTTAATTATTGTCATATGTATAATAATAAAATATTGGAGTGAAACTTCTTGTGATATGTGAGAGAAGTATCAATATTGACACAGTCAACGCTTTATCTTATATATAAAATTCTCGTGTCACGGTGTTTGTTGCCAAACTCCTCCGAAACGGCTTTACCGATTTTTATGAAATTTTGTGTGCATATTAGGTAGGCCTGAGAATCGGCCAACATCTATTTTTAATACCCCTCAATAATAAGGGTGACCCACCCCTAAAATTTTTTTCTAGTAAATGTTATATCTCAAGATAACAACCTTTATATATATATATATATATATATATATATATATATATATATATATATATATATATATATATATATATATATATATATATATATATATATATATAGATAGATATACTTTTTCAAATTCATATTTGTATAATTAAAAAAATTATATTGAATTGAATTACATAAAACCCAATAAGAAAAATAAGAATATAATGAGTAAAATCGATTGTAAAAATTGAGGCTTATGATTTTCAAGCATAGGGTACATTTTGATACAAAACCATCGTCAGAGAATCATAAAATTGTTGACTTAGAATTAGGGGACGATTTTATTAAAAAAAAAATCTAAAGAACACACATCGTAAGTAAAATTTACCTCAGTGGTACAATAATTAAGAAAGGTCCGTTGACTTTCTTTTTCTCCATGAGATAGGTGACCAGCGCGATTGTCTGAATAGTTTTGCCAAGACCCATCTCATCTGCCAGGATGCCATTTAGGTTGTTGTTAAACAACGAGACCAACCATTCTAATCCCTAGAAAGTAAGTGCTTTATTTTAAATATGAAAGGCCGGAAACATCAAGCCGGATTGAAGGGTAGGATATGGCGTGAATTTACAGCGTACAGAGGAATAACATCTGAGTCGTCAGGAATGGCAACGCGTGGGGGTTATTATGGGCGAAACAGTATACTCTATTATGTCCATGGTACTGCTCATGTCTATAGGTGACGGTTACCACTTTCCATCAGGTGGGCCGTCAGCTTGTTTGTCATTCTAAGTTGTATAAAAAAAAAAAAAATCAAGACCTTTAGCCAAGTTCCAAACTCATCTATCAGTAAAATGTATTTAACTTTTCTATCATAGCATGTGTATACATTATTTATATCAATAAATTTGATTACTATTTTTCTAGTAGGCCTGGCCATTCGATGCAGAAATATTTCGTTTGCAAGTACTTTTCTGATACTATTATTAAATAATTTTAATAAATATTTATATTTTGAGTTGAGTTGAGTGCTATTTTAAGGGAAAAGATTTTGTTAAAATAGCGATTTTAATTAAAAAGGAAAAGGGGCATTGGAGTGAAATTAATAAAAATATATAAATTTTACTATAGATACTACGATCACTTACCTTTATTTGATATTCCTTCAGTTTTCCATTGACCAAAATGCTAGCTTGTTCTGTGACAGACTCGTGGACCGTATGAGCAATGCTGAATAAAAGAAATATTTTAGTTTTGCATATCGTCAAAATTACAATTTAATATAAGAAAGTTAATATATCAAATGATGTATGTAATTATAACTTTAGATTTAGTTTTAATGCTAAAACAGTGTCTGAATTTGTTGATATACTGTAGAACAGTTACGAATGCAGCATTCACAATGTAGGACTGAGGATTACTTCCTTTCAAATAAGTACACAACCTTCATATATGTATTTATATACTTACCTATAATAAGTTTGTTCTTCAGTTTTGTACTCATCATCTTCAACTTTCGCCTTTTTGATCATGTCGCGTGCTTTCTCTTCATCCGTTTTCTCTTTATCGCTTCTTTCATCTTTGTGTTTTTCTCTTCTTTCTCTCTTTTCTGTTCAAGTTTATAATATTAATGCCTATTAATATCTACCTTAAATAGGACTTTAAATTGACTAAGTATTATATAATAAAGAAATACCTTGTGTGGTAACAGTATAAATACGATGAGTGAATAGAAATGCTATTTATTCCCGCCTATCATATGGGGCGACTAGCGAAAAAGAGTGAAAGATTCGAAATAAAAACCTATACCAGTATTCACCGTTAATGGACAGTTGAAAAATGGCAGATCGAAAAACAAATTAGATACTAAATGAAAACAAATTTAGATATGTGTTTTTGTTTCTTAACAAAATCATATGTTGAGTCTATGAACATTTTATACTATATAAAATGTTCATAGACTCAACATATGATATACAAAAATACAAACCATCGTCATCTTGACTATCATCGCCAGAATCTTCCGAATCCGAGAGAACTTCCCAGCCTGGATGTGCTTCCATCCAGTCTTTAAGTTGAGATAATAGTGGAGCATCTTCGCCTTTCAAAATCTGTCAATTATAAATAACACATGTTAAATGAGTATTCTCAAACACAATAAGTTCAAAATAAAAGTTACCTAAAATTTATATAAAAAAATATAATACTATACCTCGCCCGTTTTTGGATCCATTACGCTGACCCTAGAGTCTGATGTTTGTGAGCTGTCATCCAAAGCATCGATTTCGCCGCCTTCCAAAAGCTTCCTCTTCCGAGATTTCTATGTCAACATATGTTTTACTTGAATATATTATAAAAGGTTATCTTTGTACTAAAGGCTGTAAAATTTGTAGCATATAGAAATAACCCTACTTGTGACTTCTTTGTTTTAGAAATTTTTAGTATACAATGAAGTTATATTAAAAAAAGGCTATATTAGGAGCACCAGAGACCATCGAGTCTATATGAATGTGGAGGAAGCTATGGCAGTAGGTCAGGAAAGAAGCAATTAGCCTATGATGTCTGCCTATTTCAAACGGAAAGAGTTGTTTATTTATTTTTTGGATTCCGTATTAAAAAGTTACAAAGAAACCCTTATGGTTGCGACTTTGTAAATCTGTCTGTTTGTCACAGCATTATATCCCCGCAACTACTGATGTTACTCACTTGAAATTTGGAACAGTTTTACATATCATTAGCCTGCACATATTGCAATAAAAGTAATTGAAAAAATATTTTTATTTTGTTTGTCTAAAGCAGATACTCAAAATTTCAAAATTGACCTACCTAGTGTGGATAAGATATCACATGAATGTGCATTATTTGTACATTTTAAAATAGAATTTTATGTATTTTAGGCTGTATAATAGTTTTATAACTTTTAGATTGTGAAGCAAAAAAAAAAAAAATTGAAATGATTACAGTTTATAAAGATATATGTAAATATTACAGGAAAAATACAAAGACTTTTCTAACTAACAACATTTTTGAGAAATTATCAATCACCTCTAAAAACAAACTTAGTTGTGCGGTCAGTTTTCAACCACAATTATAATCTAAAACAAGAAATTATGAATTGTTGTGTCAATAATAAGAACTATAAGGCGTCTATTTCGTATTAGAAATACACTTAACCGGTTTTTTTTTTTTCAGATTTCATAATGCAGTTAGTCTGTCTGACAATAAGCAGGTATAGTGTTAGGTGATGACAATGAATGAAATGTTTAAATGTTATTTATAGATTACTAACTCTCTTCCTGCGCTCTTCCTCTTGTTGCTTCTTACGCTGCTCTTGTTTGTGCTGTTTGACCATCTCGGTAAGACTCGCGATATACTCGTCCGTTTGCGAGAGCAAGAATGCGAGACGCTTATCTTTTTTCTGATCAATGAGCTTACGGTAACCCTCTTCATCTTCAGCCATCAAGCTGAAAGAAAAATTTTTTTGCAAAACATTATTTTTGATCTTAGATTAAGTTTATCATTCTAAGTTGCTTAAAAAAAAAGTTAAAATAGGCTTCTCACAACAAAGGTATTATCCTTACCGCCTCATACGTTCTTTTTCAATACGCTCTTGTTCCTTCTTCTGCTCACGTTCAGCATTCGCATGATAGTTCATTATAGATTTGTTTATACGAGCAGTCTTTGCTACGTTATTACGGTGGTATTCCTTGAAGTCCTTGGCTAAAATAATTCCAAACAGCCTTCATATTAATATATATATGGAAAAATTCAAATTAGTAATTAATAGCGTACATAATACCAGGGGCGTATAGTTCAAAAGTGGTAAATAGAACGTCGAAATTATTATAGTTGGAGCTACAGTCAGCAAATGTAGTATTGACACTCTATAGAATGAGAGAGCATTAACATTTAAAGAGAGTAATAGATAAGGTCAGTAGTATCTACCCAAATGATCCACTCGACTTTGCAGACTGTTTGTTTGAAAATATAGCCCATGTTACTCGCTGATAATGCAACTTTTCTGTACGATTTTTAAATAATAACAGCGATAATATGTTATTAATATATCATGGTAGTAATAATAATAAATAATACCGTGCTGAAGAACTGTTTGAAGGAATTCTTGATGTTTTTGTCGGCGTTTCCTCTCGGCTTCGAGTTTCTGTTGTTTCTCTAATTTTTCAGTGGCGCGTGCCTCCCGCAGCCCTTGACGTTTAGTTCGTTTGTATGCTTTAATGTTAACCGCCGTTTCTAACGTCGTATCGCGACGAACTTGGCCCAATATCTAATATTAAAACTTATCTAAATTAATACGAATATGTGTCCCATTAAAGAAAAAAACAAGACAATAAATTTAACACAAGTATTGTTTTTAACAGGTATGTGTCGTGTAGATCCCACCATAGAGTGGGCTACACCTTCCTTTCCCGTGAGTGTCGTAAGAGACGACTAAGGGAACTTAAGGGTCGAGAGATGGGCAGCAGCGTCCCTCTTAAAATATCTCCAAAAAGCCAAATTGCATGCCAAGCGTGGCAACGACAAGTAAACCCCACTTTTGGAGGAGGCTATGTTCAGCAGTGGACAGTTAACGGCTGATACTACTGTTAAGTACCTAATATATTATCTGTGAAACAGATGTAATAATCTGTTGATATTAGGCTATGCTTTGTAATCTACTCTATGGTCTCTCTTTCTGCTGCGCTGCGACTCGGAAACATAGTTGTAATAAAAAGTAAAAAGAATAAAATATTTAAATAAATAGATATTGCATTTAATGTTACAAAAAAGGTTTTTAACCCGCCGCCACATTACTACAATATCAATTGAATTGAATTTAAAGAAAAAATAACTTTTTGTATCTATATTGTAACAAGCACAACAACAACAACGACTTATAAAGTCCAGTTATAAGTTCAGAGACTAATAACTTCGTATAATACAAATGAATCAGACTTGCGCATATTATAATAATTATTACCTTGCATTTATACTATATTACGTAAATAAAAAAAATATAACTATTGTATAATAAATACCTCTGCACGCAATTGTTTTTGGAAATTCAGAACACGTAAAGCTCTTAGTTCAATTTGAGCCTGCAAACGAAGGTCGTCGGGTATATTGGCCGGTAAATTGGATAGCACTTCCATACGGTGAGCGATACGGGCAGCAATTCTATTAGAAAAAAAAAATGCATGACGTTATGGTAACAATAGTCGCAATAGTACATATAACATGAATTATAAAAACTATATTATTGTATATAATTCTAATTAATGAAACTGTTGATTGTAAATTTCAGCATAATTTTTTTTTTAACAATGATGTTAATAAAATAATATAAAAGCTACTCTTTTAAATCAAAATACTTGCCTATTTTCTCTCTCATTTAATAGTTGTATTGGGTCAATACCAACTGGTTTGGGTATGCTTGTCACACGGTTTTGTTTAGCGCCGGGGATCGGTACGCCAGGCTGCAAATATCAAATACAGAATTAAAAACAATACTCCTATTAGACTATTACACTCAGAAAATCTATAAAAAAAAATAAAACTAAACCAATATGAGTATGATTGTGAAATACCTGCTGTTGTTGATTCGGTTGTGCAGGAATGCCAGGTCCCGGAGGACGCAGCGGTGCAGGACCGCGCAGGGGCGGACCACCGGCCATCGGCTATTACAAACAAAAATATTAAAATGAAATATCGCTTGAAAGTAAAAAATTTAAATGCCCCTGAAAATGCTTAAAATACAAAATAAGAAAAACAATCGAAACTTCAGGACACTAAAATTATTCAATATATTGATCAAAACATTTTTCATCAGTTTATTGAGATTTCAATAATTTTTTATTTTGTATTTTAAATTTTTCTATTTCTAATAAACTGTTAACGACAGTTAAAAACTTATTCTAGTGTAAAATTTTAACTATATCCAGTCCAGTGGTAACAATTATATACTCACCAACTGGCATTATATATTAAAAAATGACAAAAATAAATAAAAAAAAGAATTGTAAATAAATAATAATTAGGAAATTAAAATGTCAAACAAATACCGGATTAACAAGCGGAGGCGTTGGCTGGGTCGGAGGTGCCATTTGGCCGGTCATAGGCAGCGGCGTAGGCGGGGCGCCGCCGCCGCCGCGCGCGTCGCCCGCGCCGCTGCCGCCTGCTTTGCCGCCAGTAGCGCCGGCGGCACCCGCCGCCCCCGCCGCGCCCGCGTTCGATGTCGGCGGTGGCCCTTGACCCTCCCCGTATGGCGACTGGGACGGTGGCGTCGGACACTCGGGAGGAGCCACACCAGGCCGCTTACCCGCAGCCATCATTGCAGTTTCTTGTGGAATGGGCTGATTGCGGGCCAGGTTGCGGTATGCAGTTATTTGGGCCCTTAAAATACAAAATAGATGGATAAAAGGGACCGAAATCTGATGATTACTGCCTCATCTTTAAATTTTGGAAAACGAAGATTCATTTTTTATATCCCTGATGATTCTTTAAAAAGTTTAGCTTTTTACACATATCTAGGAATACATTACAAAATATAAAATAACAGATGTTTCATATTTTAAATCGAAATCTGAAATACTAAATTTAAATTTTAATATTTATTATTACTTTGTTGAAACTTATTTGCTAAGATTCGTTTTAAAAACGTTTTAAGTATTTCTACTGTGAAGCAATTGTGTTTGCATGACTGTGTTTCGGTTTGAAGGGTAAAGAGGAATAACATCTGAGTCCTCAGGAATGGCAACGTATGGGGGTTATTATGGGCGAAACAGTATACTCTGTTATGTCCATGGTACTGCTCATGTCTATAGGCGACGGTTACCACTTTCCATCAGGTGGGCCGTCAGCTTGTTTGCCATTCTAAGTTGTATAAAAAAAAAGTAAATACTTACTTAAGTTGACAGAGTTGATTATTAGAGAACAGCCCCTTATTAGGATCTTGAGGATTCGAACGTGCTCGCAAGGCGAGTAGTTGGGAATATCTCGGGTCTTCTTGGAGACCTTTCTCCTCCATAGAATCTATGGCTCTTTGCAAAGCGTTTAAGTTGTCAGGTCCAGGTGCCGGTAGGGAACCCTGCATCGGTGATGATGAAGGTGGACCACCGTTAGCGGAAGAAGTGGACGGAGGTGGAACTTGTCCGTGCGGCGGAGTTTGTGCAGCAGGCGGATGCTGTTGAGCGCCGGGTTGTGGCTGCCCCGGAGCCGATTGGCCTGGAGGCGGGGCCGATGATCCTGCTCCTGGTGCAGGTGGAGCGTGACCGTAGGCGGGGCCTGGGCCATGTGGCGGCGGGCCTTGTCCCGGCATCATAGCATGGTGTGGTGGCAAATGAGATGGGGCGCTCGGTGGCATGCCTTGAGGATGAACACCATGTGGCGGCGGACCTGATAGCGGCAATGGACCTCCTGGAGGTCCCGGTGGGGCGTTTCCTGGAGGTGGGGGTCCGCCTCCCATGGGCATTGGTGCCTAATTATTAAACAATTTGTTAGTTACAGCTTGTTTGATACCAGAGAATTAAAGAACAATTTATAACTAAATAGAAATGATGATTCCATGCACACCCAACAGCTGGTACATGTAACAATCTGCGTAACTTATATGAAGATTATTACATATATACCTATCATGATTATCTAAATGATATGAGGATAAGTAATCATAATTTTCTTTTCACCTATCTATGATCATGGATCTCTCATGCACAAACAGAATATGATCACAATATTTATATGTAAACTGTTGCACGAAATTACATTATACTAAGTCTATGGTTGCAATAGTAGTATCTTAATACTACCATAGGTAGCAGTCATATTAATGACTATGTATTTATAAATCATATAGATGCAATATTGATCATTCTATAAATATACGGCACTTATTCAATTTTCATACATAGTCATAGCCATAGTGAAATCTAATTATCATCTAACAACGTGGTAATGAAAAAATTCGTGACTTTTTTCTTTGTATTATTTAAATGGATCCTGATCTTAGCTGAACATAATGTATCCTATTCGTTATACGAAATTACTGCTTTTAATTCTCATGAAAGAGCAATCTTGTACAAACTGCATACAAAAAATGAATCCGTAGTGTTTCTTAATGGCGTAACGAATGATGCCGCGTTACCGATGGATGTTATTGTCAACGACTGTTGTAAGAATGATTTTGAGAGTACACTCAAAGAGAATGATGTTGAATACAACTTCGTTGAAACTAATTATCTGTAGGTATTCATTAAATTACAATTGCATATTTAATAAAGATAAATCTTAGATCTGTTTATATTTACAGATTAGAAGAAATAAACAATCCAAAAATAAATAACGAGTCTAATGCTCATGGTAAAGATGTGTTTTACAATTGGGAAAATATATTATTATGGATTGAAAAAATGATGAAAATATATCCTATCCTAAGAAAGATAGTCATCACGAACACTTATGAGAAAAGGGAAGTAATTATATTAACAATAACAAAGGGATTTAGAAAACCAATAGTCTTCATAGTCAGTGGAGAACAAGGCAGTGACCATTTATCTCCAGGAGTTGTATTTAATTTTATAGGCAAGATTTTAGAAAACATGTATCAATTAGGAATATTACTAAATTACTATGATTTTTATTTTCTACCAATTTTAAATCCAGATGGATATTCATATAGTATGAAAGAGGTACTACTCAGTTGTTTTTCATACATTAAAATTGGAGAAATTTTGTAGTTTTCTGAATATGGATTTGTAATGAAATGTAAAGAATGTAAATGAAATATAAGAAAATATTTAAAAAAAATTAATTAACATGAGAAAATGTTTTGAACCACAGAAAGTAGTGATTCTTCTTTAATAGACATAAACACATCATAAATGCCATACCCACGGTACTAGTTATGCGTTGCCACTCCTAATAACATTTTAAGTATCTTGTGTAAAAATTATAGCAGATACCATAAAGAAACTGTTAAATTTGTGCTATTCATTTCTAAGTAATTCTAATACATTATTTCAGAGATTTTGGGCAAAAAACAGGAGGATATTCTTTCCACAAAGAACTTGCAAATATGAAATGGATGAATTACAAAAGATTGCAATAGGTGTCAATATTGACAGAAATTGGTATTTCTCTGAATCAATATATTGTTAGTATTAGTACAGTTCCGAATATTCCCACATGAGATTTCTATCAATCAGTAATAACAAGATTCACCATCAGTGTCCAAAAGTTCTAACTAAAAGATTAGTCAAATGCTCATGTGTTTTTCCGATTCCTTACATTTCCTTACAATTGAAATAATGACTGTTCTTATCAATCTTCTTATCAATGCTTAGAATCTAGTTATCAGTGAAAGATGTTTCTTGCATTAAAAAAGTAAAAAATAATTTACACATACTCATCACTTTGATGAATACTAATTGTATAGCTAGCCAGTAGAACATATCTATTATTATCATATGGTATTGCGTCACAAATTATTCAAAATAATGACATCCAATCACTATCCCTGAAGTCCTACAAGAACGAGTTCCATAATTCTAATAGAATCCAAAGGAATAGTTCCTGAAAACTTCAGACATTTATTCACTTGTAGTGGCTTATCAGGCACAGACTGCTTAATGAAGGCCAATAATGTGTGGCCTTTAGCACTCTGCAGACAGAGGTCACAATTATGGCAGACCAGATATATATATTTAAAAATAATGTTATATTTTTAGCAGGAGAAAAAGAATGTGACTCAATATACCTTGGTAATAGATCACTTTCGGAAGAAGAAACTACAGCTTTATCTAATTTTCTAAACAATATTGCCACAAATTTGATGGCATTCATTACTTTAAAAGGCTTTGGTAATAGATTAATTACCATACCTTATGGATGTGGCATGGAATACCCTAGTAATGAACATGTGATGGTAATAAATACTAGTAAAAGTAGTTATAGACTGTAGTTATGACTATCAAATATCTATTAAAAGCAAAAATGCTCAGAAGTATAATCTATTCATTATATATTCATAAGGCAATTATCATAAGGTATCAGTTATAATCCATGAGTTTGAATCTGATTCAAGAATACCTAAAACTTTGTTAACAGTTGCATTCTCACATTTACATTAAGCATGAAATGTTTATTATCGAAATTCATTTTTTAAACGTAGTGTTAGTTATATATCATTAATATAGTTTCAGAAAAATTTTACATTATTTTTTATAGAAAAAATAAATAAATTTCCATAAACTTAAAAAAAAAATAACAATCTCGAGCACTTTGTGATATAACAATTATTATTATTTAATTTTTAAAAAAATTCACATCTCCCCTTTTAAGGAGAGGAGATGACAAACTAATCCCCGGCAGAAGCACAATCGGCCGGGGTTCAGGGCCCCAGGGAAAGAAACCGGCGTACAATGCGGGCAGTATCAAAGAGCACCGCTTTCTGCATCTTTCCCAGGAGTGAGCCGCCTCGGAATCCCAACCGTCTGAGATATTGTTTCAGACTGGTTGGGATAAGACCGTTCACCGACAAAACGATTGGAATGATTTCGGTGGACCTCACCCCCCACATTTTGGTCATCTCGTGAGCCAGGTCGAGATATTTTCTCTTTTTCTCGGTTTCGGCTTTCACGAGGTTCTCGTCATACGGTATAGTGACATCCACCAAAAACACCCTCGAGAGTGCCCGATCCATCACCACGATATCAGGTTTGTTCGCGTGATGATGAATCGGTCCCAGTAGAGCCTGACGCTGTTGCTTTCGAGGACTGGCAGGGGCTCGTACTTATAGTACGGCAACCTCTCATTTACGAAGCTGTACTTCATAACTAGCTCTTAATGGAGTATTTTAGATACCTGGTTGTGTCTGTGCAAGTACTCAGTGTTGGCAAGAGCTGAACAACCCGAAAGCACATGTCTGAGTGACTCTCTGGGATGGCTACATGCCCGACAGATGTCCTCAGTGCCATCCTTCAGAATGTGTTTTCGGTAGTTGTTCGTCTTAACCACCTGATACTGTATTGCACAGACAAAACCCTGGGTCTCTCCGAAGAGATCACCGAATGTAGCCAGTGCACAGAGGTCTTCATGTTGACATACGGCCCGTGAAGTGCTTTAAAGAACCTTCCGTGCAACTCCTCTTTCCATATGGCTTTCCGCTGAGAGATACCCTAATATAACATTAATAACGATTATTATTATTAATGATCTTACACAATTACACTATATATTGCTGTTAGTACAAATACAGATTGTTCTCTTTCTTAAGAATTTTATTTCTTTTAGTTTTTGATAATGTAAAGATTTTTTTCTATGAAAAAAATAATACTTAGATCCTGATTACTGAATACCAACACATTAGTTCTAAGAAATGGATATTGTTGAAAACATACTGTAGACTACTACAGCAATAAAGAGACTGATTACCCTATCTGGTGTTACAGTCATAAGCATATTTAGTTATTATAGGCCCAGACAAAAAACACCTCTCTGACATACCAACTAAATGGAAACTAGTATTGAGGTACACTTTCATTATGGGAAATTTCTCAGTGAAAACGAAAATGTTGTCTGGTTTCTGATAACAAAGATATCCTAGTGTGAGTAATTGACAACTAAGCAATTGGTGTGATCAAGTGTGATAAGATTTTTGTTAAAATAAACAAAAGCTATATACTTAAAAAATATTTTATACATTGATTATTTATAATATATACTTTATTTTGTGACAGTTAGAAATTATAAGATCTGCATGTTACCGAGTGTATCAAGAACACAATATTACATACTCATATGGAAGTACAGCAAGTTATTTATGTATGTATCAAAAAGTTCTAACTATGACACACATGAAGACCTGTTAGTTATTTAGATCTGTTAAATTGTATCCTACAAAAAAAAATCTATTGATAAAACCAGTTGTTTTGATCTAAACTACTGAACTGATTTTGATAAAGTTTCTATGGGAACAAACTGACAGAGTTATGAGGTAACAAACATATAAAAAATACAACAAAATTGAGAACCTTCTTTTTGAAGTCAGTTGAAAAATAACAAAAGTTACTAGGTCTAAATCTCTGGTTCTTAAAATTTTTTAGTGATAGATATTAAATTGTACAGTAGTTAAGAAAACAGATTTATATGAAAAAAAATAGAGTGAGAAACACTAAGAATAGAAATAAGTACTGGGTACTCTATAAAACTGTACGAATGTGTAAGTTTATAATAATATTTATTCTTAAAGGTCTTGAAATGAATATAATTATCAATTTAATTGATATATAAATATATAGAATACTTTTCTAATTACTGTGTAATATTTTGAACAGACAATATTTCAGGAAACAGTTGTGACTGGGTAAAAAAGAATCTAAATATACCCATAGTGTACACTGTGCATATGAAACATGAAGGAGGCCTTTTACCTCAACCAAAACACATACAATCCCTGAGTAATGAATTTACCACTATTATAAAAGATACAATCATGATAGCTAAAGATATTTATGGGCCTTTATTTAATAATCAAAAACTTTTATGCATTAATTTTCTTGTAAAACTTTTCATTTTAATAAATTTATAACACTTATCATACCTGAAAACTAAAGTATTTACTTATTTAAATACTTGTGCAATCCTGTAGCTTTGCTTGCATATTACATACTAGGTATGTAGGTAAGAAGTTATCCTATATTAATCTAGAATATTGTTTCTCCACTATTTTTATGTAGCGAGTCACAAAAAAGCCAAAAAGTAAAAAGTGTTGTGACCCTATCACTATAACATTATAACAATATTTAACAAAAAACTATAAGACTTTATAAATTAAAAGAAAACTAATATATATCATAGTTACCTGACCAGGAGGCATATGTCCAATTTGATGTTGCATATATCCATGTGGTGGTCCTTGGCCAGGCATATTTGGGTGTGGTGGATTTCCAGGCATATTAGGATGACCATTTGGACCTGGAGGATGTGCTCCACCTGGTCCTATTGGGTGACCAGGAGGGCCAGGTATGTGAGGACCAACCATATGTGGAGGTATTTGATGTCCACTAGGGGGCATACCTGGATGTTGTTGATGAGGTGGACCATTTGTATTTGGGCCAATAGGATGCGAAGGAGGACCAGATGGAGACATATGATTAGGCATAGGCGCTGATGAGTGTGACGGAGGTGGGCCGTTTACATGTTGTTGGTTGTATGGACTATGCGGTGATTGTGGCGGTGCCGGGCTCTGTGTTGGTGGGCCCATTGGACTCGGTGCTTGTGGAGGCGGCATGGGACTACTCTGAGGAGACGGACTAGCCATCTTTATTCAATTTAAACATTAATTTGATGATTTACACTTATTTATAGATCATTTTTCCGAATGAATTCACAGAACCACCAATTTTATCAATACTTGTCAAGTATTTAAGAAATCGTCTTTAGGATATGAGAAACTATGTAAGTGAAGCTCTATTTTCTGAATTAAAATTGACTATAAAACACTTATTATGAAATCAATTAAAAAAATCACAAAATCTAAACTCGGAATGGATAGAATGAAGAAGCTTTCTATTTTTTTTTTTATTTTAAGCCACATAGACCACAGATTAGTTAGAGGAACTATTAGCCATAGAGTCGATTCTTTTATGTCCATTCAATATCAACAATTCAAGAATTCTCCGAATTTACTTAAAATATGTTACATTAAATGTTAGTAATGGAGACTTAGATGAATATCATCTCGTAGTTCTCCCCGGGCCTGATGAATTCTGACCTGTTTTTACTCTGAAGTTTTGGAAAGAAAGAGATGAAAGTAAAATGTAAAACCAGTCAATCATGTCAGATTCAGAGTTATTACAAGCGATTTCCACCATATTAGACATATTTCTAAACATATCCTAATATTTTAATTTGGTCACAAAATTACAATTTTGTATATCATCAATTCAATATCAACAATTCAAGAATTCTCGAATGTTTATACTTAAAATATGCTTTGGGTAAAATACATAGATAAATGTTAGTAATGGAGACTTAGAATTCCATTGCTAGCAATATTCCCAACCAGGTCGACCTCCTCGTAGTTCTCCCCGGAAATTATCATGGTTAATTCCTGATGAATTCATCATGGTGGGCAAACTGACCTGTTTTTATTGTCATCTATCGCCCTTCACTGGTATCCCGTTAGCGCAGGCGGGGTTACCATACCATTTTTACCCGTAAAAAAAAATGGATCTATAGAAAAATTGCAGATTTTTTCTATTCACCCCGCGAATCCTATTAACACCGTTTTAGTCAATGCTTTTATTACTTTGGCAGTTGATTTAGTTTTGCTTATGAAAAATTTGGAGTTTTTGCTAGACTTTAACGTAATTATTTGTAATTGTAATAGTCCCAATTAAGACCGAGTAATATAATTATCTTAGCCTTTTTAGTAGCTACTTACCCAAATAAATCGCAGGTATTATCCTCAATTTATGAAAAAAATACAAACCTAAAAAAAAGAACAACTGATGCTAATGCGGATTGAAAGAATTGATACATATGCAATAGGTTTAATCATTATAAATGGATCCAAACAAGATTAAACTAGAATCTGGAGTACAGTTACTGGCAAGATTGATAAAAAAATCAAAAATCGAAAACTTTTATCCAGTTCTATTTAAATCTGGACCAAAGTTTGGCGAAGTAATTGAAATGTTTAGCAATATCAGCTTGTCCACACTTCTTATAGATATGATTTGTGAAGCATTAATACCTATCAAATTAGGTGGTGCTCAATTAAGTATTTTAATATTTAAAACTGATGGAGATTTCAATTACGATGCGTTGGTAGAATGTCTTCGAAAAAAACTTTGCCTATATTTATCTTTAGAATCTACTGAAACAAAAATACAAACCTAAAAAAAAGAACAACTGATGCTAATGCGGATTGAAAGAATTGATACATATGTAATTCTGAACAATTTAAAAGTTTGTTTCACGAAACAATGAGTAATTTACACATATTAGAAATTTATGATGCTACTCAATTTTACACCACCATGTATAATTTGGAAAACATTTTCACAGAACATTCAGACATTTCTTTAATTATATTTGATACACTAACAGCATTTTATTGGTCCGAACAAGGCTTTAAAATAACAAAAATGGATATGTATTTAAAAAATGTACTTAAAGTTATTCAGGAAGTTATGAAAGATTATAAAATAACAGTGATTTACACAAGACCTGAATATTTTAATTCAAGTAAGGATACAAATCTGGAAACATGTGTGAACTCTAATACAGAAGGACTTGATTATCGCATACAATTAATATTTGAGGAAGGTGTATATAAGGTGATTGTGAAAACATCTCAATTGAGTATAAAAAGACATTTTATAATATTAGATAATAAAATTAATTGGATTTAAGTTCTATGAATATAAATAATATAATAATACAAAGTTCTTTATTGAAGTGGTTTGATAATTTGAATATAATAGAATATAACAAGCAGCTCAGTAAACCATTATTTATTTACCAAACCATTCTTTTAATACTTTATTAGCATTACATTTATAAATAATTTATATTGTTGAAGATGCTGTACCTTAATAAACCATTATTGTCACACTACTAGGCACAGGACTCTTTATATAGCCTACCATTACCATTCTGATCAGATGCCTCAAATAAAATTTTATTACAAGTTTTAAGAAAAGAAATATTATTATACTGCTGTTGTTACAGCTCCTTCAATGGATATCTGTAGTGAGGATGGGCTATGCCAAATTTATTATCATTATTATATTCAGTAGTGTAACAATAAGGTGGCAGTGTGAATAACATACCATAGGCTCCCAGACTGAGGAGAACCCTGGTCCAATATGTTGCGAACATGGGTAGAATTTTATATTAATTTATTACACAAATTAGTAAAAAAATTAATGATTACAATATTAACTTAAAAATATACACAAATTAGACTGAATAAGCTGTCAAGACAAAGAAAAGGTATGCAACTTGGTTATTCTATCCAATTCTTTGAATCTTTTTTATACAATGAGAGAATCCTACCCTATGAATTTGCTGATATATAATAATGAGTCCCAGATGGTATATTTATGCCACTGGTGATATTTATATTCTTACTCCATCACTACAGTAAGAAGTATATCATACTTTATGGGCACATTACATTTTGTAACTAGGTATAGAGCTAGTATTTTTACAATCGAGCAAATGAGAAAAAAAAATGGTCTACTATCAAGTAAAGGTTAACCCAGACTGCATACTTCTATTTATAAATATACTGTAGTAAAGGTTTTTTATTTCATTGTATTGTACATAACTACATAATTAATAATAGTAATATTAAAAATTTCTTACTAATATCTAGATTAAAGATGTTATAAATATAAAAATCTATATACCTACATCTAATTGTGCAATTTAATTTAATAGTCTATCACAGAATGTATTCATAAAATTAAGTAGTGCTTTTAATAAAATCTAAAAACTCTTGACATTAACACTTCAGGGTAACACCCTCACATGAATAGTAGTACAGGAATAAAATAGGTAAACAGTATTTGTTTACCTTAATTATTATTATTTATAAATACTGATGTCTGTGGAAGCTTTTATTAATATATTGGAACTGGATAAGACATGAGATCACAAATTTACTGTATATAAAATAATTAAATACTTAAATATAGTTAATGGCACAAGTTTGAAATTGATTAATAAAATTAATTATAACCTACACACTATATATCACATTACATCATTATGTAAATTATATACATGAAAGCTACAAAACCATGACTGAAATAATTGAGATTCTCCCATTTGCTTATAGTGTGGTAAAATGAATAACCAGATTCTTGAACAGAAAAAGATGCTTCAAACATTACTCCTAAGTAAGCAAGATGAATAACAGTTATCAAAGAAAATAAAGCATTAATAAATATAGTCAATACACTGTTCTTCTTATATTTGTGGTCACACTGTTTTACACAAGGATTGGCTAAACAACATACTTCTAGGGCTAATGCTACTTTACTTCTAAAATTATATTCTACATAAGAGAAGGTCCCTATACTTAAAAGCACTGCTGATAATTGGAAATTCAATCCATGAAGTAATGAAGAAACAGCATAAGTGACAAGTATGGCTGTAAATTGCCCATAGACCTGACATGTTTTGAATACATAGTTTTTCAACCATTGGTGCATTGGCATATTCCAATATATTACAACTTGGACTAGAGATCTTGGTAATTCAATAAAAATTGGTTTAGTGACATGCAATTCTGAATGACAATCGTTAGTAAGACCAAAACCAGCACTAATCATTGACACTACTGACAAGCTTGATACAAAGTAATGGGACATTCTGAAGGCTTGGGCATCACGATATGCTACAAGCCACTTTGTTGTTTCTTCATCAATATACCAGGGCACGACACAATTAGATAAAACTAAAAACAGCATAGATATAAAAAGATTGATGAAAATTATTTTAAACCATCTTTTACTTAAAAACTTTACTTCTAAATATTGATTATATGTATGGAATGATATCCACGGACCTAATATACAATTAGCTGGACATAACACATACCCTCCAAATTCCACAGGATTTAACATACACTTATAAAGGTCTCGGTCTAACTCTATTGCTACAGATATAATTTTCATTGCCGCAATCATCTGGACTCCTCTTATTTGCTGCCACATTTTTGGATTTAAAACATAAACTTCACATGCCAATAGAAATGCAATTACTGAAAGTGAAGTTATTAAACCCCTAAATTTTTTCATTATACAGGACAGTAAAATTATCAAAATATAGGCACCAGTTGCCAATCCCACTGTCCATATAAATGCTGGTCCAATACTGTAATAAAGAAGAAAACTTCCAATAACTAGAGATAAGCTATGGCGAACATTATGAGGAAGTACTACAGATTGTATGATTAAACGAAGAAGTATATTGGCGATGATTAGATCTTTAGCGAATCTTAATCCTTCATATATAGTAGGTTCACCACACATAAAAATGTAAGTCCATGTACTTTCAGTGTATTGATCATCTTCTTCCATATCCATTGCTTCTTCATAGGTATCATACATTCCAATCATTATATCTTCAAATTACTAATAAGAGTAATAGCTGTTTTAAATTTCGTTTACTATGTTCCAATAGGTAAAACTATTTGAATCTTCAGTCAGATAACTTTTGTATAAAGAAAACATTATCTGTGAGGATTTATTCACTATTTTATAGTAATTTATTTTAGATTCAATGTTGTTAATACAGAATATGTTGATTTTCAAAAACGAACAGATGCTAATTTACTATGAATATGAATTAATGCCACAGATTAGAGAGACTATCTCTAAAGAATCAATCTGGGGAATCAATGAATATGTAGCGTCAACTGCGTAAAGAAGCGATGCGCGACAAATAATCTGACTAGGTACTAATTATCCGACTACCCAAATCTTTCGGATTATTCGAATTATTTTCAAATCTTCTTTTTCTTTAATTTTAAATGGTCGCCACCAATTTTGATTGGTGATTCCTAAGAACAAGGAATTTATTAATTAGAAGGAATGACATATCAAACATTTTGTATACACTAACCTGCTATGAATGGGGGGAAAGGGATTGTTAGTAATGGAGACTGAGAATCCCATTGCTAGTAATATACCCAACCAGGTCGACCTCCTCGCGGTTCCCCCTGGAAACTATCACCTTTACCTAACTTGCGCCATTGGGGGGAGGGATTATTATTAATGCTTACTGCTACTATGGTTATTTCTTGTGAGATTCGTCACGATGGGCTAACTGATCTATCTTTTCATCTTCACACCTCACTGGTGCCTCGTTATCGTATATCATTAGCGCAGATGGGGTAATCATTTCATTATCACCAAGTAAAAAAAAAACTTTGCGCCGTTGACATTGACAATATGTCAATTGTGGTTATCAGTTTTATATTGACATACAAATTTCTAAAAATAGTAAATAGAATATGCATATGATAGGCTTACATTTCTGTATTAAAATAAAATATATAATACAATTTTCCAAAATAGCTAAATACGAAAAAGAAAATACTAGAAATCAATTAATTTCATAATATTAATATATAATCGCATTTACTGAGATAAAAAGGCAACTAATAGTTTCGATATGGCGAATGATAGGGAAGTACTACGTGAAATATGGGATGGAAAACTGCCCATATGTTTTCAATTAGATCAGGAAGAAATAATGGAGATTCAACAGCCTGATCCATTTTATGTCATGGTACCCAGGTTAAGTTATTTTCCTCTCGTTACGGACAAGGTAAGTATGTTATCTTTAGCATTAAGGAATACAGTTACTGTTGTCGTCTGAATTATACGCTCTTTGTTAGATATTTTACTATTATTACTCTTAAATTGTTGTAGTGTGATACACTGGTATTAGGTGGTCTTACAAGCTTAATTGACATTTGTCATTAGTAAGTAATAGTTACGAACATTTTTTCATAAGGTGTTATTACCCCCTTAAGAATGTAGAATATTTCCTAATACCCCTTTAAGAATTTGAAATAATATTTTTATTACTATATTTATTATAACAATATTAATGAAAAGTTTCCGAGTTCAATTTAAATCAACCAAAGACATGTAAAAGATGGAGTCTAAACAGTAATATCTATTGCTAATAATATACCCAACTAGGTCGACCTCCTCGCCATTCTCCCTGGAAACTATCATGGTTAATTCTTGACGAATTCATCATGATGGGCTAACTGGCCTGTTTTCATTTTCATCTATCACCCTTCACTGGTGCTCCGGCATGGTATCCCATTATCCCTACCATTTTCACCCATCAAAAAAAAAACAGTAATATCTTAAAATTATTAATCAAATTACTATGTAGTTCAAGGTTTTTTAAGGTAGGATCCATAGCATGTGTATCAGGGATCTGCAGAAGGTCAATTAACTATACAAATATTAGAAAATTGTATAGTAAACTTGACTTAGTCATTGTCAGGTGGCAAACAGCAACATCCTTTTCATTAAATTAGTAGTAAGTGTAATGAAACTACCAATAAGTGTCTTTTTATTGTAATTTAAAAATTCTTTTTGTCTTTCTCTAAGTTTTAGGACCTGACTAAAATGTTTTTTGACAGGGATCCATATTAATTGTTTTTTGTTTGAATTGTGTGTGAAATTGTAAAAGTGGTCTGTGTCTGCAAAAAGTTTAAGACTCTGGTGTAGTAAATTGTAGTCAACAAACTCTCACCAAATAAATAAATCAAGAGTTAATTAGTATATTTAAACTAAATACATACTACACATTAAAATTATAACAGAATAGTAATATTATTTTAATTCAGTGAATATTTTTCAGATGAAAAGACATTTTCTACGCTTCATTTCTCAAGAAAATGCAGATAATGAAATGTGGTTGGATTACAATGGGCAACCATTAAAATGGCATTATCCTATAGGCTTTTTGTATGATCTCTATTGTGGTAATGATCCACAGCTTCCTTGGATGTTGACAGTACACTTTACAAAGTTCCCTGAAGATATTCTCTTGCATTGTCCTAACAAGTAATTTTTTATGCTGTTGTTATTAAAATTGTTGATAAAGATATATGTTGTATTTATGTGACATAATTTATTGCTTGAACAATGCTTTTTAATAATATGAAATTTTCTTTATCAGTTTTATCTGTCTTTAGTTAATATAAGAGATATCCATTACATATATAGAGAAGATATTGCATTATTTATAAAAGGTAACTTTGTTTCTGTAAAGGGAAATCTGTTAATAAATTCAAGTGGATTGTAAAGTTGTTACCTGAGACTTCATCTCTGTTCCTAGGATATGTTCATTAACCAAGATAGCAAAGTAGCCTATGTCTTGTTCCATCCTATATAGCATGTGTATACTAAATTTCATAGTGATTAATACTGCAAAGAGATTATGTTTATATACACATGACATTCTTATTTGTCATGTATACTGTATATATATTGTTAGAATTCTTAAAAAATATAGTTATTATTTAATCTCCTCTATATAATGGTAGAAAAAAATTACCATTATTTTGGTACTGTTTTCTGTGGCTTTGCTTGCTTGAATCAGTATATGAAATATTTTATATGTTAAGTTGTAATATAACCTACTCATGTACCAAACGTAATTCAAGTCCCTTCAGCCTTTTAAATGTCATGGCGTAATATATATATATATATATATACATAAACTTTCACAATTTATCTTGCTTCTAAGCTTAATTGAAAGTATCTACATTCTGAAAATCTATTTCACAGAGATGTAGTTGAAGCTCACTATATGTCAACTGTAAAAGAGGCTGATGTACTTAAACACAGAGGCCAAGTTATGTCTACAATGCAAAAAAAAGACCATAACCAGTTATGGTTAGGTTTGCAAAATGGTAGGTATAGTTTACACATTTTTTTATAGTAACTAGAAGCACATAGCTAAAGATTATTTAATGTACATTTCATGTTATTCTAGACAAATTTGATCAATTTTGGGCCATTAACAGAAGGCTAATGGAATCTCATGGTGATAATGAAGGATTTAAACATATTCCAATAAGAATCTATGCAGATGATGGGGTTTGCAATCAACGTCTTGTCAATCCTAAGAATACTGATGGTAGTCGAAAAGTTCTTCAGCAAATGATCAATGAAATTTATCCAGAGAGAATAAATGGTATGTACAAACTAAATAATATCAATGCCCTTAGTATATGGCTTAGTCCATTTGGTAGTGGAATTATTAAAGACATAATTTTATTAACCTAATGATTGAGGTGGAAAATTAAATTATTATTATTATTTATTTCAGTTAAATTAAAGACCCATGGAATTGTATTACCTTTGGACACACCATTACAATGGCTTTCTGAACATATGAGTTATCCTGACAATTTCTTACACTTGTGTTTATGTTGAAACTTATATTTATTCTGTAAATTTATTTGTTATAAGGAAAAAATATAATTTTACTAATATTTATAAAGACAACTTTCTTAGATGAATAAATATACCCAATATATACTTTTAAAATAATTTGTTTTTTTTTTTTTATATTTTATGTTACCAGGGGTCAAGTTTTGCCTCTTTGAGTACTTTTGTTCCAGTCATATATCTGTCTACCAAGAGGAGAGAAATTTTAGGCGATGGGACCTAGTAGCTCCATTGAAGTTGTCTCATGCTGTGTTTGCATCTATGAGGTCGCTCCTCGAAAACATTTTGTTTGGCATTAGTTCTTTGAAGTAATATCCACTACATTACTTCAATTTTATTGCCACATCAGCTTGTTAGAGAAGAAGATGTTTTTAGTAATGGAGACTAAGGGTCCTATTGGCGACCGGCCGATGCAAACTCTTTAGATTTTATTATATGCTTTTTTATTCCCCGTTTTATTTTTAGAATGCTCTTATTTGTAATTTCAATTTTGTATTTTTTGACAATCTTGTTCCTTTCACACTGTCAATACATTTTCCTCTGTTAAAATCCGTGTCTACATCATTTACCATCTCATCAAACTTCACCGCTCTGTAATAGGTCCCATTGTTAGCAATATACCCACCAGGTTTTCCTCAAACCATTATGGTAAATTCCTGATGAATTCGTCATGATGGGCTAACTAACCTGTTTTCATTCTCTGAATTCCCTTCACTGTTGCCTCGCCAGCATATTCCGTTACAGCAAGCAAAGTTGCCATTCCATTTTCATCATAAAAGTAGTTCCATTGCTAGCAATATACCCTATCAGGTCAACCTTCACGTATTTCACCTGGAATCGTCGTTATTTATTTTGGAATTCGTCATAAAGGGCAACAAAAAATACAGGTCAATTAGATTTATCCTCATATATAATTTTTCACTGGCGCCCCGCCAGCGTATACTTCTAGTGCGAGGTGGGGTTACTATTTCATTTTCAGTCAAAAATTTAGTTCATATCGGTCGTTAGAATCAGAGTTTCGCTGTGATATCAAATTTTAATTTTAGAGAAATGGCACCTTAGAATCTGTTCCATAGTATCTTTAAGAAGATAAAAATATAAATGTTCTTCAAAGTGATTTTATAACAATAAAAAATTTGTATTTGATAGACCAAGAATATGTCACGAGCCACATAAATATAAGTCGCGGGCCGTGTTTTGAATAGCTCCGATTAAATTGATAATAGGTTAACTACCTAAGTTTGGGGAAAGGGAATGTTAGCAATGGAGTTTGACAGCCACATTCTTAGCAATATGCCTTATTAGGTTGACCTCCACGTGGTTCCCCCTGGAAACCATCGTGAACAATTCTTGTTAAATTGGCCACGATGGGCTAACTGACCTGCTTCATTCTCACCTATTACCTTTTCTATCTGTTCTCCCTTAACTAAAGGTTGTCTGTAAGAGATTGCCCTAGCGATAAGACCGCCTTTTGTACCTTTATGTGTATATTTCAATCTGTATTTATGTTAGTATTTCATTTGAATTATTCGTCATTGTATATTTTTATTTATGGTGCAATAAAGAGTTAAATAAATAAATAAATAATCATTCCCTGGTGCCCCGCCGGTGTATCCAATAGCGCGGGTAGGTTTACTATTCCATTATCACCCATTACTACCGAAGTTTTCGGTTACTGAATGCGGGGGAGGGGGACAGTTGTGTGTGTGTAGGGCCAGCCCCCCTCCCCGGGGAGAAAGGGATTGTTAGTAATGGAGACTGATAATCCCATTGCTAGCAATATACCCAACTAGGTCGACCTCGCGGTTCTCCCTGGTAATTGTCATGGTTAATTCCTGATGAATTCATCATGATGGGCTAACTGGCCAGTTTTCATTCTCATATATCACCCTTCACTGGTGCTCCGCCAGCGTATTCTGTTAGCGCAGACGGGGTTACCATACCATTTACACCCATCAAAAAAAAAGCTCCCCTTCCCATTCCTAGAAAATAATCTTAAATACGCCAATGAAGATTAAGTAGGTAATTATGTTGATAGGTCAATTTAAGTATTTACAGAAATAAATGTTCTACGTAGGTTTTAGTAAATTTTTATTGAACTTGTAAACTAAATCACGGTAACATTAAAACAGGATAAAAGAATTGTGTATCTGATAAGTACTTATTCACAATAAATAAAAGGAAAAAAATTACAATAAAGACAAAAACAGCTTACTTAATCATCACCATTACAACGTATATTACGTCACAAAATATTTGCATCCAGCGACTTCCTGCAATACTCTTGAGATCGTCACTCCATTTCGCAAGGGGTCGTCCTACACTAACTTTGCCTATACGAGGTCGCTATTCGAGATCCTTCTTTCCTCATTGGTTAACATTGGCTCAAGCTGTATAGCTGGCCATTTTAATTTGGAGACTATGTCGGTGACTTTAGTTTTCTGCGATTTTCCATATTCCGGATTTTAATATGTAGTAAAATTCTGAACATAGGCCTCTTCATAGCTCGCTGAGTGACTTGGAGTATAACTGGCAAGGCGAACTGGTTAAACACTTTCGTATTTGGATAATTGGAGATGTGGCGAGTATCTAATAGTAGTTTCCCAAGTGCTGCCCAGCCAAGTTGGATTTTTCGACTTATCTATAACGGTTATACCCACAAGATTATTTTTAGTATAAATAGAATATTATTTAAAGTATAGTTCATCTATGTACCAACTTTTATTAAAGTCTTTTCAGTCATTTAGGTATGTTTGTGTAACAAGTATCGAAACATCTTTACAAACTCACATTAATAATATTAGTAGAATTAGGAGCTATTTAAGCTTCTTTATAAACATATTTTACAATATGTATATAACTCGTAAATGTCTAAATAGTGTTTATTAGCTGTTTGAAAAAATATCACATGTAATACTTCTGCTTTCACGATTTGAAAGTGAATAAAAAATATTTACAATAGTTGATATACAAAACAACTTGTGAATCTTTTAGATTAGTAGCTTCTAGCTAAACATTATTACTATCACAATCTCAGACATAAACTATGATTTAAACCTTATTTACTACTACTTTTTTCCTTATACTTTTGTATCACGTATGGAATGTGTCTTGTAAATCGTTTGCAGCCATTGTTTGCAAATATGGGTTGACTCTCAGTAGGTCCATATGTTATTACACTAAGAGCATCACTGTGAACAAAAAGACATCACAATTTAAGAAATGCATAATTTACTTGAATTAAAATGGGATGGAAACTGTGTTATTCGTTTATTCTGGCGGGGGATCAAGGTATGATAGATAAGATAAATGGGATTTAGTAAGATATTGCTAAGATTCTCCATTTTTTTTTTATTGTAAGTGCAGATTAGTATATAATATACTTTATAGATTGTTAAGAATCTATCTACCCTGTATTTTGTATTGTAGCGTAGTGCCAGCATTGTAACAGTTTTACAAAAACTTTTAAGTGAGATTTTTAATCTAAGTCTATCATGATTATTATATTCCCTTAAAAAAATTATGCTTATTTCTTCAATTTTAATGACCTGAGAGGCGAGACCCGAACTATAACGAGAACACTATAAAGGTATTAATGCATGTAGATTTATTTTATTGCAATTATTATTCTTATCAGTATTACATATATATTTTTCATCTAATACAACTTACTCCAACATTTCCTTAGTGGGTTGCAGTATTCCATGTGCACGAAATTCTGCCAATGCGCATAATTCTATATGATGTTGTTCAAGAGGTAGGAATGGTATATAGTGGTCGATTAAATGCTGTGCAATTGTTATTGATTTTTCAAAACCACCTGAAATTATTAATAAAAAAATTAAAAAATGCTCTATTTCTTTTCGGTAGATAACAGTTTTGTGAACATAGAGTTTCAGAATCATAAAATAAAAAAAAAAAATTAAACGAGCTTGTAGATTAGTTTATTAAAGAACATTTTTATTTTATTAAATTCTCAAGTCAAGCCGATTTTTTTGTGTCATGGGCACATCTATTTCTTCAGGCAGTTCCTAAATATAGTTTTTTTATGAAAACTTAAAACTATTTTATAGTAAGTCCAACCTTGGTGATATGCTGTTCTTCGTATAGTAGGTTCAAAGTGATAAAATTCAACATCACTTCTCTTTACACCTTCTACATACAAATCTAGTAAATTATCTGCTATTTCTTTTCCACCAGTGTTTGATATAAATATAAAAATACTGTTTCTGAAATGTAAATATAAACAATAAATTGCAAATATAGAAAAAACATCAGAGGCATTTAATATTGATATATAGCAGTTTAGAATCATAACCATTATCAGAGTGAAAGGAAATTATAATATTATATTATAAATAACATTATAATGCTGTATTGCCCTTATTACTACTATTATACATAATTTTATACATCACAGTATACACAGGTATACATTTATTTATTTACACTTTATTGCACCAAGTAAAAAGAGAAATAACAAATACAGTAAATATTAATGAGAAGTGATACAAAAGGTGGCCTTATTGCTAAGCAATCTCTTCCAGACAACCTTTGGGTAGAGGACATTGAGAAAAAGACAGGGTAGGTGGCGCTCTATTATATAATTATATATATTACGAAATCTTAATACTAAATAATAGTTTTACCTCAGCAACTCTTATGAAGTGTATTCTAGGAGTTTGTATATTGCCATAACTGGTTATATCAGGTGGATTACATGCTTGTTTATCATATTAGTGGTGTAAAAAAATTAATATGAAGAAATTTTCCATCCACTTATAAAAACTTATTAAGTCTTATAACTTGGTACAGAACCCTTATAAGAGGAAAATAGCAGTGAAATAAATATTTAATATATAGTCTTGTTATTACTACATAAGTAAGATGGCTGACATTCAAGGGTTTTATTTCTTTCTCACACACAATCAATCCCTTAGTTGTCTCTTGTTACATTTCAGGGATGAAAAGAAGTTGTGCCATATTGTACCTGTATTTCTAATATCTTGTCTTTCACACACACTACACCTAGAAGAAAAATATTATACAGACTATTAATATTACCTGAAGTCCACACCATCCACAGCATGATAATGATCAAACATAGGCTTTATTGCATCAAGAACTGATGGACACATATGATGTATTTCATCAATTATTATTAAGGATTTTGGGCATTTCTTCACCATTTCATTGACTTTATTAACTAATTCTCTCTGTAACAGTCAATAGATATATCTTTTAACAAAATAACATAATTTTCAGAATATTAATTATATTAATTTTTTCAGTAATATAATGATTTTTGTTTATACTTATGTATGTACCATTTTATAATTTTTATGTTATACTTAGTAAATATACAGTATTTATTGCATATAGGTATATACTATCAAATGTTATTTAAATAAGTAAATTTCAATTATAAAAGTCTAATGATATCTATTAGCCTTTAGAAACATTTATATGTAAATAAAGTTTAAGATACATATTAGGAGATCATACTATAACATACATGTTTCAAAAATTATGATTGGTGATAGAAGTAAGAGGAAGACATACAGTGGCCACTCCAATTGGCAGGATAAGGGTAAGACAGTTTATTAATTATAGTAATAGAAACAGTAATAAACTTACCTGACTCTTCTGTACATCTTCACAATCAAAATCTGTGCTACCCATGAACATTTTAACAAATTTACTTTCCATCCCTTTCTTATAGACAGCTTCAGCTATCAATGATGTAGCATAATTTTTACCAACTCCAGATAACCCATGTAAACTTATAACCAACGCCTTTTTATTTGGTTTGCTTTTATCATTTACTGCAGCTTTATGAGCACTAAGAATATTCACTAATTCATTGACCAATGGCTGACCGAACATTTTTTGTGCAAATGATTCTTTTAATTCTAAAAATAGTAAAATCAACATATATATATATACAAAAATTTTAACACTGACCTAAATTATTTTGCTGATGACTTAGAAATATTATTATCTCTTTTCAATTTTACTATAGGGTGTAACAATTGTATTTGCATGGATGTTTTAGTCTGTAGGGTAATATGGCAATGAAATTAATGAATGAAATGTCCTTGGAAATAGGAATACATGAGAGGGTTTTTTAATGGATGATAATAGAATGGTAACTCCGCCTGCATTATTAGTTTAGACTGGCAGGCCATCAGTGAGGACAAAGTAGGTTAGTTAGAACATTGTGACAAATTTACCAATGAATCAATCACAATTGTTTCCAGGGGGAACTGTGAGGAAGTCAACCTGATAGAGTATATTGTTAGTAATAGGCTTGCTAATCTCCATTACTAACAATCACTTTTCCTCCGAGTTTGTTATGTTAGCTCATTGTGATGAGACCTGAAATTAAGCACAACAATGGTTTCCAGGGAGGGGAGCCATGGGGAGGTCATGGATACCTGATACCTGATAGGGTATACTGCTAGCATTAAAACTGGTAGTCCACATTATTAATGATACCTTCCATTCCTACATGAGGGGTATTATGAGTGTTAATGTATTTTGTGGTGCTCAAGATACTAATATTGTATATACAAGTGATACAGGCATGCAATATCGTGGGAAATAACTTCTAGTTTATAAATATACGTCCAACGATAAGCTGTCGGTATGTGTAATACTTCCAGCTATATGACAGCATAGTTAACAACAAAATTGTACTTAACTCACTTTCCAAATCGTAGGGGATGTAAGCATCATTACAACATTCCATATAACGACATACAGTGTTATCTTTAATAGGAGTTTCCCATTTAAACCAAGCCCCTGCTAATGCTGCAGCAGTAATAGCCGTCAAGGTTACGAACTCGGAAACTACATAATTGTAGCTCAAAACAAATACAAAAAATACAATGTAGTAATTGATTTTCATATGTACCATTTTTAAATTCAGAGGGTTATCAATTTCTTTTGTTTTAAAACATATGTTTTTGTAATTTTAAAAATAATGTTTTTGTAATTTCTCAAACAAGTATCACAGATTAATAGACAGATTGACGTAGACTGACAGCACCTAAGAACATGGAATTACCCTAAGATAAAAGAATTACATAGAAGGAATGATAAAATAAAAACTATAATTCATACGATTGCCTCCTTTCTTCTTATGTAAATATAATTAGTAAAAAGAGGACGAAAGATATTTCATCAGTTGCTATTTTTCTCAATTCATAGCAGGCTAGTATATAAAAAATGTTTGATGTGTTAATTATTTATCAATGACAAATTTTAAATTACAAATTTTACATTACTAAATTGATAATTTTATCACTCCTCCTACTATGTAATTTATTGTTCTTAGAGTCCATCTGTTAGTCAGATTGTCCACAAATGTACTCTGTGTACTGTCTGTCAGTCACAAAGTTCAGTGTAAATCTTTTTAATCTGTGAAGGAAAATAAAAAAATAAATGTGTATTTAGTACATGCACGTGGTTTTATTGTTTTTTCATTTTATTCCAACCATATTTCTTCGCTCTTAATAGTACTAAATATAATATTTACATTTATAAATATAATATTACAAAGTTCTACCGGATACTGGAAGCAATAGTTGATAATACGTCGATATTAGTTTGTGTCACAGCTTTGTGTAGTGTTCAATAATTTTCTAAAAGAGGAGTTATGGGGAAAAAAAGGAGACTGGCTAATAAAGATGACGATTTTGAATATGACCCTGTACCCAAACATTTAGTTACTTCACACATACAAAAACAGGAAAAACGTCTCATAGTTATTTTGGAAAATGCACAATTAGAAACAGTCAAAGTGAGTTTATATTGTTTATTACTTTAACTGTAATATAGGTATTGCACTAGTGATCCGGCGCACCTCTACACGGGTAGATAAAATTTTCGAAAACAATATATAGTCTATGTTGTTCACAGAAAATTTATCTTTATACAGGTGAAAGATCTGTTAAAGTTGATTGAGTAGTTTTTGAGTTTATCCATTACAAACAAACAATTAATTCTTTCTTCTTTATAATATTAGTTGAGACATATGAACAATATTTTAGGAAAGTGCAGAATATATTATACTAGAGATTGATAGAGAGAGTAGAGAAGACAGAAAATGAAATGGGAAGATTGAAGTTATCTGTGGGTGATAATGATGAATGGAGAAGGCTTGCAAATGATAGAAGTCAGTAGGTTTTTGGCATCCTATGATAAATCATGTTATGCTATGGAAAACAGAAATTAGAGATATACTGTAATATATAATAAATTTTTAGTGTAAGAGCAGTTGTAAACATAACTACAAATTTCAGAATAAAGGGAATTTTTTTTTCCAAATTTAATGTCTTCCTTCTTAAGTAGGGGAGATGATAAATTAACCCTTGATAAAAGCACAATGGGTCAAAATTCAGGGTCACAGAGAGAGAAATTGATGCACTATGCCAGCAGTACCCAAAAGAACTTTTTTGCATCTTATTACTATTGATTTAGAAAGAAAAAAAGTGTTTCAATAAAATCTTTTCATTATATTCTATCAAAACAGACTACAAATAATTAAACATTGTATTACTATTTTTTTATTACAATTGAAAAAATATTTAAGTCTTATAAAGTACTTGAATATCCCATTCAAGTACTTAAGTACTAGTCAGGACATAATAAGTTATTTAACAAGTACCAAAATACTGGAATATCAAAAACAGTTGACATATCAAAGATGCTCTACTTGAGACTTCTTTGAGTTTTTCACTACTTCATAGTTTTCAAGTTGGTCATCCATGCCCACTTGAAAAATTCACCTGTATACTGTGATGCCTGTTATATGACATCAATCATTTATTGTCTTCACTCTTTATTAAAGCATTCCACACGTCTCTTGGATCACAGATTCCAATGGTTTATCTTAATGCTGTTAAATGAGTTATATCTATATACAAATATTTCAACTTATATATATTTTATCTAAAATTAATACATAATATTTGTTATAAAAATGTTTCAGGCAGGTAATAGTTTCGAGTTGTTGAATTGTGATGATCATGCTAACATACTACGCAAGAATGACCGTGATCCAGGCTCATGTCGCCCGGATATTACACATCAGTCTCTTCTGATGTTAATGGACTCTCCACTGAATCGTGCTGGATTACTGCAAGTGTATATACATACTGAGAAGAATGTTCTCATAGAAATAAATCCACAAACCCGAATACCAAGAACATTTAAAAGATTTGCTGGATTAATGGGTAGGTGGTAACAATTATTTTCCTATGAATATATTATATAAAATTAAATTAGGATGGCAAGTGCCAAGTGTGTCACAATGATCAAAGAGTTAATTAATTCTTTAAATCTAATTTTTAATTAAAAAAAAGTAAAATTTAATACTAAAAATACCACAATAATACAATTATTGTGGTATTTTTATATTATTTTTTTTACCAGACTGGCAAAATAAAAAGTCAAACCCACCCAGTTATTTTGATATAATAAGAGAATCAAATGTATTAAAAAGAATTAATTTTATATAGGATGAAATAAAACTATAATCATAAATCAGTTTCAAAGTTTTAAACAGAAAGAACGAAATATATATTTTGTTTTACTCTACACTTAATGACAAAAAAAATATTTTAAGAATGATTTAAAAATGAACAAAAAGAAAAAGAAAAGTTAACAAGCAAAAAGCAAAGCATTTCTAAAATAATTTTAATATATTTTATTAAAGTATTAATTATTATTGGTCATTTTAGATTTTTTTTTGCAACACAAAATTTTCTGTACTTTGCACAATACTTAACAATCTTGACTTGCTCTTTTTTTTATCGAAATAACAGTATCAAATTAATAGCTTAATTAAAAAGATTTCTATCTTAATTTATTTTGAAGAACTAAATTTAATAAAATTATTTATAAGTATATAGTATATGTATTTAAAAAAATATATTTTTAATATTTCTTTATTTTATAACTGGCATACAATCACACTAGTTTGCAAACTAGGATCCACTGTGTTTTGAGGAATCAGCTTAAAAATACCTAGATATTCATTGGCTTGTTTCTCATATTACTACTGTGCCCCAGTGTGTAAACGTAATACACATTATGCCCCTAGGGATGCAACCCTTAATACCCAGATTTAAGCCAATGTATAAATAAAAAAATATATATCCCACTTTACACAGGTGGGATATATAATCTGTTATTTAATTTAATAATTTTTAAAACCAATTTTTTATTGTGGTAGGGATGTGAAATATTATGATAATATTTTTATTGACTTTTTGAGATGGGTCATTTAATGTAAATATTTATTTTATTTTTTTAGTTCAATTGCTACACAAATTCTCAATCAGAGCATCAGATGGGCCTATGAAATTATTGAAAGTCATAAAGAATCCAGTTACCTCACATCTTCCTGTTGGAGTGAAGAAGATAACAATGTCATTTAGTTCAAAAATTGTACAGAACTGCAGAGATTTAGTACCAGAAAATGATCCTATAGTCTTGATAATAGGAGCCATGGCCCATGGCAAAGTTGAGGTGGATTATTCAGAGGATGTAATATCCATAAGTAATTATCCATTATCAGCTGCATTAACATGTGCCAAATTGTGCTCAGCATTTGAAGAAGTTTGGGGTGTAATGTAATAAAATTAATAGTATTTACTCAACTTGCTTTTTGTGTATTATTACAGTATATTTTTGACTTTATTTTTGATCATATTAAATAGCGGTGGAAAATAAAGTATCTACGGCCTAACATTAAACAAAATTGTCTAAAAATATCTTACAGTATGTAAATATTTGTACATTTCTTGTATCATTAACAAAGTATAAATATAGTGTAAGAGTTCTTTAGAATAAAAAATAACACAGGCAAATTGAAATTCTTACTACTCCTGTACTGATATTTTGAAGAAATCTTTGTCGATATGAAACCAGTCTCGATAATAATTTTTGCAATTAGGAGGGTTTACTCCCGTTTTCTACGTGTGGCACAGAAAAGACCTTTCTTTCCTTTCCTTTAGATGTTTTAAGAAATGACTAAAGGAATTTAATGGTTAAAGAATGGACAGGAGTGTCCTTCTTAAACCAGATATGTCTACCAGGATTTTTGTAATGCAACTTAGAATGACAAACAAGCTGACGTCCACCTGATGGAAAGTAGTAACCGTCGCCTATGGACATGAGCAGTACCATGAATATAACAGAGTATACTCTTCCGCCCAAGATACCTCCCATGCGTTGCGATTCCTGAGAACTCAGGAGTTATTCTTCTGTATCCTGTAAATTCACTGCCATATCCCATCTTTCAAACCGAAACACAGCCATGTAAACACAACTGCTTCACCGTAGAAAACGAATGGGTCAGACGTGCCCAAGCAAACGACTACACATAATAAATATCAAAAAATCTTATTAATCTGAGATATAAAATAGTTACTGGCATATATGGGTTAAAACATCTCCAAAGTTTAACTGCAGTTGCCAACCCGCCTGCCGAGCGCGACAACTAGCAATGCCTCCTATGTTCAGCGGACATTTAAAAGCTGATATGATGATGTTTATGGTATTGGCGTCATATTAATTTTATCACAATTGAAATCGCAGTTTTTTCTTAGATTATAGCGAGGACCAAAAAAGCCGTTTTACCTATGCAAATACTAGCGTTTTTTCTAGGAATTTTCGAGTAAATAAAAAAATACATATCTTTTTTTTGTTGTTTGTAAGATAGAAGTGAGTGTGCCAACTTTTTTTATGTACTTTAAAATGGCAAAATGTCGACGGTTCAATAGAAATTGTTAGCTTAAGCAGTCGTCTATAAATATGGAACGCTGCGTGGACATCATAGAATATTCTGGACTAAGGTGTTATGTTTCCATCTCGTTAAAATTAATTGCCATATTTCACCTTTCAAATTATGTATTATCTTTATTTTCAATAATAATGTATGCCTATAACAATTATAAAAAAATATTGTTTCGACATGAAATATACACATGAAACACGCGACGTGCTGCATCGTGCTGAATAGCTTAAAGTTCTTTGTGACTGGAATGAAATTTAGAAATTTATATTTTTCGTCACATACTAAGAAACTAAGTGGGTACGTATACATTATATGAACAATATACGTAGTTTTTTTTAATAGGTGATAATGGAATGGTAACCCCGCCCACGCTATCGGGATACGCTGGCGGAGCACCAGTGAAGAATGATTGGTGAGGATGAAGCAGGTCAGTTAGCCCATCGTGACGAATTCAACAAGAATTGTTCACGATGTTTTCCAGGGGGAACCACGTGGAGGTCGACCTAACAGGGCATATTGCTAGCAATGGGGCTATCAAACTCCATTGCTAACAATCCCTTTCCCCCCATTTCAATATACGTAGTTAGTATAACGTACTGTGTATTGATACGAACTATCGTAATATACGGTTGACTTATGTGCTTATTACTGCTATTTAAAATAAATAATTACATAGCTGTATGGATAGATGGCGACACTATGAACATCATAGTAGTTGGTTACAGAGGAAGTAAAATATTTGAACCAATAATAATCCTACTTAATCACACTGGTCCTCGATAAAAATAATTTTAAAACTCTTCCATTGTCAATATTCATTTTATCAAGCGCATTTGGGTTCGGATTTGAATATTCTCACATGCAGTGTGAAGATTTGAATTACGATTGTCATATTTAAAATTAATTTTCAGTGTGGCCTTGTCTTTAAAAAAAGGTGCATATCTATGTACAATTAGTTATGTCTGCGCATAGACGAAAATACCATTAACATCCTGGGTTGGGCACCAGATAATTCTAGGGTGGGCAAGACCTACCTCGTCTCTTAAATACCTATGCCTATAACAAATTTACATTTGAATTCAAAACTCAATGAGCACAATCAGAAATACTTTCCTACATTGTATATTTTATATATACGTATTTCTCTATCAATATACTTTGGGGCAATTCCCACAAAAGTCGACCTCCACGTGGTTCCCCCTGGAAACCATCGTGAACAATTCTTGTTGAATTCGTCACGATGGGCTAACTGACCTGCTTCATCCTCACCTATCATTCTTCATTGGTACCCCGCCGGTGTGTACCGATAACGCAGGTGGGGTTACCATTCCATTATCATCTATTAAAAAAAATCCTTACAAAAAGGGGGGAAAGGAATTGTTAGCAATGGAGTTTGATAGCCCCATTGCTAACAATATGCCCTAACAGGTCGACCTCCACGTGGTTCCCCTTGGAAACCATCGTGAACAATTCTTGTTGAATTCGTCACGATGGGCTAACTGACCTGCTTCATCCTCACCTATCATCCTTCATTGGTACCCCGCCGGTGTGTACCGATAGTGCAGGTGGGGTTACCATTCCATTATCATCTATTAAAAAAAATCCTTACAAAAAGGGGGGGAAAGGAATTGTTAGCAATGGAGTTTGATAGCCCCATTGCTAACAATATGCCCTAACAGGTAGACCTCCACGTGGTTCCCCTTGGAAACCATCGTGAACAATTCTTGTTGAATTCGTCACGATGGGCTAACTGACCTGCTTCATCCTCACCTATCATCCTTCATTGGTACCCCGCCGGTGTGTACCGATAGCGCAGGTGGGGTTACCATTCCATTATCATCTATTAAAAAAATTAATATTAATTAATTAATATTTGCATGCCATTTGATGTGGCGAAACATAATGGACATCTTATAAACTTCACAAATGCAACACCTTTTCTACAATGTTTCTAGCAAATAAATTTCATTTCATTTCATTTCATTTCATTTCATTTCATTTCATTTCAAAAAATCCTTACAAAAAGGGGGGAAAGGAATTGTTAGCAATGGAGTTTGATAGCCCCATTGCTAACAATATGCCCTAACAGGTCGACCTCCACGTGGTTCCCCTTGGAAACCATCGTGAACAATTCTTGTTGAATTCGTCACGATGGGCTAACTGACCTGCTTCATCCTCACCTATCATCCTTCACTGGTACCCCGACGGTGTGTACCGATAGCGCAGGTGGAGTTACCATTCCATTATCACCCATTAAAAAAAGCCCCAAAGATAAACCGACTTCAATAATGACAAAACCAGTTATTTTGATTTAAACAACAGATTTTGTTAACATTTGTATGAAACTAATCTTTAAATCTAAGTATTCTTTCAGATATAAATAGAATTTTCTAAATCGGTTTAGAACTAAGGGAGTTATGGCGTAACAAACATAAAAAAAATACAACCGAATTTAAATTAAACCTTTTTGAAGTCGGTTGAAAATGAATCACGTATTAGGGAAGCTAAATAAACTAGTCACACTGTACAAAAATGGGGTCTACATTCCTCACTAGTATCAATATGCCACCACTGCCATTTTCTGCCATCGTACGGCTTACCATCAACAGGGAGTTCACCCTCATGTCCTATAGCCTAAATCTCCTAGAAACACTCAGGTTATGGAATGAGCTCCCTGCCGAGGTTTTCCCAAGAGACTACAGCATGCGATTCTTCAAAAGGGGGGTAAAGAGGTTTCTTCAGGGTCGACAACGCGCGCGCAATACCCCTGGTATTGCAGGCGTTCATAGGCTACGGTAACCACTTACCATTAGGTGGGCCGTATGCTTCATTGCCACCTCAGTGGAATAAAAAAAATATATGCTCTAATAGGCCGACCTCCACGTGTTCCTCCTTGGAAATTTTTGTGTAATTACTGATCTACATTCATTCTCACCTATCACCTTTTACTGGTACCTCGTCAGCGTATAGTTAGGTATATCACCTTATAAAAACACGAATAAAATCCTGTGTTATCTATGCTAATATTATAAAGTGGAGTATTTGAACGCGCTAATGCTAGCATTAGTAAAAAAATGTTCAAATTCTACTGTTAATTTTAGAATGAATGGTTGAATGTAAATATTTTTTTGCATTTGATAGCTAATTTTTTGAGGAAGGTTATAGGCAACATCATGATACAACCACGGGTGAATCCGCGGTATACAGCAAGTTATTAAATATACCTATCCTTTAATATAAGACAGGGAATTTATTTTGTGTTCACATCAATCTATTTTTTGTGGTTCGCATTCTTTCCTTAATAGTGGAGTGCTTACTTGACCTGTCTAGGAATGTAAAGGCGGGACGGGAACTATGGAATGCAGTGTTTTTTTCTTGTTATCGTAAGTATCAATCTCATTTTGTTACAAAGAATTTTGTTGGAGCTTATTTTTCATCTACTTGCTATGTTGACATTGACACCATAGACTTATACATACGGCGTATGTTGCCGATTAATAACATAGATTGTCATTCTTCTTTTACATCGTGTATTATATTAATCAAAGTTATATATACGTATATTAATTTATTTGAGATAATCATAGATAAGTATAATCCACACCAATGTCACCAATCTGGTCCAGGAAATACTGTGTTTGACAAACCAACTCAAATAGAAATACCATAGAACTCGAGAACTGATTCATGTAAATCAACGTGTGATCCAATGATAAAAGTTTTTAATGTTCGGTTCTGTATTAATCTCTCTTAATACATGGAAGTATTATTTCACGTTTATAATATAAATAATATTTATAAGGATGAAAGACGCTTAAGAAAACGAGACCTATTCGAACCAAACAATAGGTTGACTAAGACCATAAAATTCAATGTCTTTTTCCTCCATATCAGTCCTATC